TATAGGCGCACGCCACCACACCTGGCTAATTTTTTTGTATTTTTCGTAGAGACAGGGTTTCACCATATTGGCCAGGCTGGTCTTGGATTCCTGACCTCATGATCCGCCCACCTTGGCCTCCCAAAATGCCAGGATTACAGGCATGAGTCACTGTGCCCGGCCTGATTTTTTTTTTTTAGATTCAAGGTATGCATTTCCAACCAGACTATTACTTAAGTGATGTGTTCATCTCAGGCTTTATATCAGAAGGCACAGAATCAATCACATGGTTAAGGCAGTGTCCAGTTGCCCCATTATATAGTCACTACTTTTTCCCTTCCAACTAAAATATAAGCAATCTGAGTGGAGACACTTTAAAACCATGCAAATATCTTGCTCCTAAATTCCTCCTAAGTTTTGCATGCATAGGTACTTCTTGCTTGATCCATTTTACTACAGTAATTGCAAAATAATGAATTCCCAGTTGCAGCACTCCTTCTACATTCACTACTGACCTCAGCTTCGCTCTTCCTAAACAGGAGCCCTCTTCCTCTCTCTCTCATTGATAGGAACTCAGGATTCCTCATTTTTCCAATGGGTTATGATTTATTAGTGTCCTTAGTCATTTTGGTGCCTCATATCCCAGATTTGGCCAGTGGGAGCTCCTTCGAGTTGGTTCCTTTATCCCGTGACATGCCTCCAGTACTTTACTTTTTCACATAACACAATATTTCAGGCTCCTCATCTCATATCTTCATTGCCCCAATGAACCCTGATTCCTTTTAGTGAGGAATGTATTAGAGACCAAGTTCTCAGTGCAAAATGTACTGATTGCTAATGGGGTATATTTGATTTTAGGCCTTTTTAGCAGACAGAGCTGAATACAAATGCACACATTACCTACATATATGAATATGCATACACACATGCACATATATACTTGTGTATACATACATGTGTATGTTCAGACATATACCTGTTTTAGAATAAATCATGAGTTCCGGCCAGGTGCGGTGGCTCACGCCTACAATCCCAGCACTTTGGGAGGCTGAAGTGGGAGTTTGAGACCAGCCTGGACAACATGATGAATCCCCATCTCTACTAAAAATACCAAAAAAACCCCAAAAAAGTTAGCCTGGCATGGTGGCAGGCACCTGTAATCCCAGCTACTTGGGAGACTGAGGCAGGAGAATCACTTGAACCTGGGAGGCAGAGGTAGCAGTGAGCCGAGATCATGCCACTGCACTTCAGCCTGGGCAACAAGAGCGAAACTCCGTCTCAAAAAAAAAAAAAAAAAAAGAAAGAAAGAAATCATGAGTTCTTGGGTTTTAATAACATCAACACATTTATTCATTTGTTCAAGCATATAATACATCTAAAATAGTTTCAGAATTGATTTGCCAATGCTATTACATAAACAAACCTACCAAACAGAGTTCAGAATTTGTTTGCAGTTATTTCCTACCCCTGCCTTACGGGAGAGCCTTGCTTCTGAACCACTCTCGACAAATACAGCTGTTTGCTGGGAGGAAGGTGGCAGCAGAGAGGGAGCACAGGACTGGAAATGGAGGCATGCAATAGCCATGGAGGGGGAAAGGCACGGGAACCTCACTCTCAGAAGCAGAAGGTAAGTTTCCAAGGCTGGAGAAGATATTGTGTGCTGGCCCAGGTCCGCTCGATGGCATGTTTTCCTGCAGCCATCTTGGCAGCTTGTGTATAGTAGAGAAGACAGATGGCTGGGATGGCTGGCTGATCCAAAGCTGGGGAACTACCAGGTGGACGTGGCAGAAGGACAGAGGGTGAGGACACTGGGGTGCTGGCAATATAGTGGTTGACGTCATGAACCCTGGAGTCTGGGCTGAATTGGGGAAGAAATGAAGCCAAGAGAAAGAGGAATGACTGGAACTGTGAAGTGGTTTATTCATGTGATTTCTGGTCACTAAATCCAGTAATCTAGGAATAGGCAGTTCAGGGGGCTATGAAGAGAGATGGCTTGTATCAAAGTTGGTTAGTGACAGATGAGAGGAACTGTAATCAGAGCAACCAAAGAGATCGTGTTTCCCCAAAGACCAGAGACTGAGGGAGAGAAGACCTCACTGGTACAGGCTGGAGAGGGAAACTGTTTAAAGCACATTATTACAATGTATGACCAATAGCTAAGAGTAGTGTTCAAATGAAGGGAACTTAGAGATCATTTCACCTGGACAGGCACTCACTTTATTATTATTTTTGGGGGGGGACAGAGTCTTACACTGTAGCCCAGGCTGGAGTGAAGTGGTGTGATCTCGGCTCACTGCAGTCTCCACCTCCTGGGTTCAAGGAATTCTCCTGTCTCAGCCTCCCAAGTAGCTGAGACTACAGGTGTGTGCCACCATGCCCAGCTAATTTTTTGGTATTTTTAGTAGAGACAGGGTTTCACCATGTCAGCCAGGATGGTCTCGATCCCCTGACCTTGTGAGCCATCCACCTCTGCCTTCCAAAGTGCTGGGATTGCAGGTGTAAGCCACCACACCTGGCCCAGCACTTCACTAGGAAGTGAAGTAAAAGTCAGGAAGCAAAAGTCCTGACCTTACTTAAGGACTAAGTAAGGTTGCCTAAGAGTTGTTAAGCAACTGGCCCATGCCTCCCTGACCCCAGCCTGCGTGGGATTCAAACTCAGGTGTTCTAAATCCCATGTTGGTGGCTCTTTAACTCACTACAATGTTCTGAACCTACCAAAATGTCTGACTGGTTTGTTTTGCCCACTAGTCTTTGTTCTCCATCCAGATTTTAAGCACAGGGGCAGGAGTGAAATCTTATGCATCAGTGCATTCTCCATAGTTCCTAAGTCAGTCACTGCTCAACGCATCTTTTTTTTTTTTTTTTTTTTTTTTGAGACGGAGTTTCGCTCTTGTTACCCAGGCTGGAGTGCCATGGCGCATCTCGGCTCACCGCAACCTCCGCCTCCTGGGTTCAGGCAATTCTCCTGCCTCAGCCTCCTGAGTAGCTGGGATTACAGGCACGCACCACCATGCCCAGCTAATTTTTTTGTATTTTTAGTAGAGACGGGGTTTCACCATGTTGACCAGGATGGTCTCGATCTCTTGACCTTGTGATCCACCCGCCTCGGCCTCCCAAAGTGCTGGGATTACAGGCTTGAGCCACCGCGCCTGGCTTTTTTTTTTTTTTTAAAGACAGAGTCTCACTCTGTCACCCAGGCTGGAATACAGTGGTATGATCTCAGCTCACTGCAACCTCTGCCTCCTGAGCTAAAGTGATCCTCCCATCCCGGCCTCCAGGATAGCTGGGACTACAGGCATGTGCCACCATACCCAGCTAATTTATGTATTTTGTTGTTGTTGTTAGAGACAAGTGTCACCACATTGCCCAGGCTGGGCTCATATTCCTGGGCTCAAGGGATCTACCTGCCTCAGCCCCACAAAGTTCTGGGATTACAGGCATGAGCCACCATCCTGGCCTATCTCGGTTTCAAGAGGTGTTGTCAGCTCTCCAAAAACAGACAGATATGCTGCCAACAGATGGTGATAGGACCTTCATTAGGCCCTGTGGTCCAAAGAGTAAGGCTTCTTAAGAAACCATGTTCACAGGCCTGGCGACTCACTGCAACCTCCGCCTCCTGGGTTCAAGCTATTCTCCTGCCTCAGCCTCCAGAGTAGCTGGGATTACAGGCACATGCCACCATGCCCCACTAATTTTTGTATTTTTAGTAGAGACGGAGTTTTGCCATGTCGGACAGGCTGGTTTTGAACTCCTGGCCTCAAGGGATCCACCCGCCTCGGCCTCCCAAAGGCGTGCGCCACCGCACCTGGCTGAATTTCTGAACAACTTTCAAACAAGGTTTGCTTTTGGGATTTGTCTTTTAAGGATATCCTTTTAGGGATAATAACTGGCGTTTTGGTTGCTTTCTGGATACTTAAAATGCTGACTAATAGTTTTAGGAAGTAAGGTGTGGCACTGAAGAAGGCCATTTGCAAACTCCCTATGTAAAGAGCATGGACTGACATTCCCCTTAAAAAGACTCACACATTGAGGGTAGCTGCATCTAGGAACTCTCTGTACTCTCTGCTCATTTCTCTGTAAACCTAAAACTGTTCTAAAATACTTTTTAAATACTCAAACACTAGGATTGCAATAAAATTTGTGTTGTCATGTGGTTCTAATCACTAGTAATCCAGGTGGCTGAAAGTTTAAAAGTGATAACGAAAAATGTGCTAGGAAACTTTCAATCCCATGTGATAGAAAACCTGGCATGAACTGGAGTGACCCTCTTCTAAATGACTCCAGCGTGTTGACATGACAGGCTGTAGCTGGCAGACTATTCTTGGTGCTCAGGAGGGACTACTGGAAAGAAAAGGTGGATATAAAATATCTGTTCACATAAAATTATGCTGTTAACCCATCAAAGGAAACAACTGGTTACAGAGAAAGAATTTTCTTTTTTTTTTTTTTTTGCTCACCTTCAACTGTCTTGATAGAGTTATAGAGATAAAGAATTTTAATCAGCAAGTTAAAAAGTTTACAAAACCTTGAACATAAGATATGCAACATGAAATTCTGGGTGATACATGCATTGTTATTTCCATGTGGGAATACCTCATTCTGAGCAAACCTGACATATAGCAGTCAGACTGACCATTCATCACTGGAAAGCTTTGACACAAGACTTTTTTTTTTATATAGCACTTTCCCAAAATGTGTTTAACACAGAGTTTGATTTTTTTTTTTTTTTTTTTTTTTTTGAGACGGAGTTTCACTCTTGTTACCCAGGCTGGAGTGCAATGGCGCGATCTCGGCTCACCGCAACCACCGCCTCCTGGGTTCAGGCAATTCTCCTGCCTCAGCCTCCTGAGTAGCTGGGATTACAGGCACGCACCACCATGCCCAGCTAATTTTTTGTATTTTTAGTAGAGACGGGGTTTCACCATGTTGACCAAGATGGTCTCGATCTCTTGACCTCGTGATCCACCCGCCTCAGCCTCCCAAAGTGCCGGGATTACAGGCTTGAGCTACCGTGCCCGGCTGAGTTTGATTTTTAAAAATTGACTTACACATAATTTTAGAGAGAATATCTATTGGTTAAAATGAGGAATATCTGTGCTGTCACGAGGTGTGCCATGAGAGCACACTTCAGTTCCGGATAAAGCATTTTTACACATCATAATGAAATTTCATTTTATGAAAAAACAGTTGAATTCATGAGGTATGCATCTTGATCACAACACAGAGTGTAAGTACAAAGTGTAAGGTCAGTGTATAATGAATACACAACACAGTACACCACTAGGAAATGCAGTTCCCAATCACACATCACCCCTATTACAAAACGTGTCTAATCTCCAACACCCCAAGAAGTGCTTGTGTGCCATAGCCCAGGCTCGCCTATGGGTATGTGTATATGTGCAAGGATGGGTATGCCGCCACGGCCACACAGCTTCTCTTTGTGGCACGATATCTGCTCCTTGGCCAGTTTGGCTTCACACCTGGAGCTGGCTCCTGGCTGGAGTTTATGGTTCTCTTTGGAGAGCATGATACTGTAAAGCCTGGCTGCTGCTTCTGTGCAAATAAGATTTTTAGAAAGTTGAATTCACTTTATTTTGCCATTTCTAAAGATGTAGTTAGGTTTGGGATTGGCTTTACAAGGAGTTGGTGAGAAACATTTGTATTTCTTCCCCAAATATCAAAGTAGTTGACGCTATTATAGAACGGGGTGAACTGAGCATTTGTGCTGATCCTCAGCCAAATCACAGTCAACACGAGCAACTTTTTTTGAGACGGAGTCTTGCTCTGTCACCCAGGCTGGAGTGCAATGGTGCAATCTCAGCTCACTGCAATTTCCGCCTCCTGGGTTCAAGCAATACTCCTGCCTCAGCCTCCCAAGTAGCTGGGATTACAAGTGTGCACCATCACACCCAGCCAATTTTTGCATTTTTAGTCTAGATGGGGTTTGGCCATGTTGGCCGGGCTGGTCTCAAACTCCTGACCGCAGGTGATCCACTCACTTTCAGCCTCCCAAAGTGCTGGGATTACAGGTGCGAGCCACCAAGCCCAGCCCAGCCCAGACTTACTAAGTTTTTTTTTTTTTTTTTGAGATGGAGTTTTACTCTTGTTGCCCAGGCTGGAGTGCAATGCTGTGATCTTGGCTCACCACCACATCTGCCTCCTGGGTACAAGTAATTCTCCTGCCTCAGCCTTGCAAGTAGCTGGGACTACAGCCATGTGCCACCACCATGCCTGGCCAGTAGAGACAGGGTTTCTCCATGTTGGTCAGGGTAGTCTCAAGTTCCTGACCTCAAATGATACACCCACCTTGGCTTCTCAAAGTGCTGGGATTACAGGGGTGAGCCACCTTGCCTGGCCTGAAACTTAGTCTTTTACAAAAGCAAGTATTTCACAAATCTTAGTACCCAATGGTCAGTGGTAATTATAGCCTGAGGGTACAAAATGCCTTAGATGTTCACCTGAGCAGAATAAATCTGAGAAGGTAAAACTGGACTGTGGATCACCACCCCTCCAAATCACATAATACATTTGAGAACTAATTAAAATTAATAGCTGGCAAATAAGTATATACAATATACTAGGTAAAGTACCTGCATTTTCTCTTTATTCTTAGGCAGAATCAGGGTGGTCATTGATGGGTCCAGGGGGGTGTCTTTGTCTCTTCTATTGAAATTTGTCTAAAATAAATGAACATATCTTCAGTAAATTTTCCATTTGAACAAGTATGATTATAATGAATATGCATTATTTGCTTCTTATTTATATATGTTAATTCATTATGATACTCTCACACAAGAAGGCAGGCAAAACATAATTCAAAGAAGGAAAAATGATTCAAAGCGGGGAAGTGACTAATTTACAAAGTGCCTATGATATGCCCGGTGCTTTGCACTTTCACACAAATTCATCAACCTTAGGATGTAGATATTATATCTCAATATTTCAGATGCAAAAACTTAGTCTCAGGGTGGTCAGATGACTCACAGAATATTAAACAGTGAGGCAAGACAGACTTTAAAATTTGTACTCTTGTCACCAGCTGTGCTCTGTGGAGATTCCCCAGTATCACACAGTGAGACCTCATTAATAGCACTGTTAACCATAGGGTAGAGTTTCACATAAGGAGGGCCCATTTTGCACCCTATCACCTGAGAATCAGCTACTATTGTACAAAACCTTTTAACCTTAAACTCCTGGACTCAAGTGGTTCTACCACCTCAGCCTCCCAAGTACTAGGACTACAGTGGCAGGTTACCACATCCAGCTAAGTTTTAAAATTTTTTGTAGAGACAGGATCTTGCTATGTTGCTCAGGCTGGCCTTGACCTCCTGGCCTCAAGTGATGATCCTCCCGCCTCAGTCTTCCAAAGTGCTGGGATTACAGGTGTGAGCTACTGTACCTGACCTCAAACCCCCCGCCCACTTTTTTTTTTTCATACAGGGTCTCGCTCTGTCACCCAGGCTGGGGTACAATGGCAGAATCACAGCTCACTCCAGTCTTGACCTTTCGGGCTCAATCAATCCTCCTACCTCAGTCTCCCAAGTAACCAGGACTATAAGCATGCGCCACAATGCCTAGCTAAATTTTTTTTTTTTTTTTTTTTTTTTTGAGACAGTGTCTCACTCTGTCACCTAAGCTGGAGTGCAATGGTAAAATCTCAGCTCACTGCAACCTCTGCCTCCTGGGTTCAAGAATTCTTGTGACTCAGCTTCCTGAGTAGCTGGGACTACATGCATGCATCACTACACCCAGCTAATTTTTGTATTTTTAGTAGAGATGGGGTTTCACCACGTTGGCCAGGCTGGTCTCCTGGCCTCATGTGATTCGCCCACTTTGTTTTCCCAAAGTGTTGGAATTACAGGCGTGAGCCACTGTGCCTGACCAAACTTATTCTTTAAAAAGGCAAATAAGGCCGGGCGCGGTGGCTCAAGCCTGTAATCCCAGCACTTTGGGAGGCCGAGGCGGGTGGATCACGAGGTCAAGAGATCGAGACCATCCTGGTCAACATGGTGAAACCCCGTCTCTACTAAAATTACAAAAAATTAGCTGGGCATGGTGGTGCGTGCCTGTAATCCCAGCTACTCAGGAGGCTGAGGCAGGAGAATTGCCTGAACCCAGGAGGCGGAGGTTGCGGTGAGCCGAGATCGCGCCATTGCACTCCAGCCTGGGTAACAAGAGCGAAACTCTGTCTCAAAAAAAAAAAAAAAAAAAAAAATGCAAATAATTGGCTGTGTGCGGTGGCTCATGCCTGCAATCTCAGCACTTTGGAAGGCTGAGGTGGGAGGATCACCTGAGGTCAGGAGTTCCTGACCAGCCTGGCCAACATGGAGAAACTCCATCTTTACTAAAAATAAAAAGTTAGCTGGGTGTGGTGGTGCATGCCTTTAATCCCAGCTACTCGGGAGGCTGAGGCAGGGGAATCGCTTGAACCCTGGAGGCAGAGGTTGCAGTGAGCTGAGATTGCACCATTGCACTCCAGCCTGTGCAACAAGAGTGAAACTCTGTCTAAAAGAAACCCAGCAAATAATTCACAAACCTTGGTACTGAATGGTCAGTGGTGGCACTGCATATGAAGCACACCTCACAATTCATGGCAACACTTGATGTGTTGTTAACCTCCTAAGGCTGAGAACAGGTGCCTCATTCCCTATTACTTTCTTATGTGACATGTTGCCATGGCATTTCAAAATAATGGCTGCCTAAAAAATGCTTATTTTTTTTTTTTTTTTGAGATGGAGTTTCGCTCTTGTTACCCAGGCTGGAGTGCAATGGCACGATCTCGGCTCACCGCAACCTCCGCCTCCTGGGTTCAGGCAATTCTCCTGCCTCAGCCTCCTGAGTAGCTCGGATTACAGGCACACGCTACCATGCCCAGCTAATTTTTTGTATTTTTAGTAGAGACGGGGTTTCACCATGTTGACCAGGATGGTCTTGATCTCTCGACCTCGTGATCCACCCGCCTCGGCCTCCCAAAGTGCTGGGATTACAGGCTTGAGCCACCGTGCCCGGCCAAAAAATGCTTATTGAAATGAAATGTTCAATGGCAAGCTTTTAACTCTAGATGGGCTCCTTCCAGCCCTGGTATGTCCCAGGGGCCAGGTGATTTGTAGCCTGAGGGTGCAAAATGCCTTAGATGTCACTTGAGCAGAACAAATCTGAGACGGTAAAACGGGACTGTGGATCACCGCCCCTCCAAATCACGTAATACATTTGATAACTAATTAAAATTAATAGCTGGCACATAAGCATATACAGTATATTAGGTGAAGTACCTGTATTCTCTCTTTATTCTTAGGCAGAATCAGGGTGACCATTGATGAGTCCAGGCGGGTGTCTTTGTCTCTTCTACTGAAATTTGTCTAAAATAAATGAACATATTCTCACTAAGTTTTCCACTTGAACAAGTGTGATTACAGTGAATATACATTATTTGTTTGCTTCTTATTTACACATGTTGATTCATTATGATATTCTCACACAAGAGGACAGGCAAAACAGTAACAATTCGGAGAAAAAATGGCTAATTTACTGAGTGCCTACCATATGCCAGGTGCTTTACACTTTCACACACTAATTCTTTTTTTTTTTTTTTTTAAGATGGGGTTTCACCATGCTGGTCTAGAACTCCCGACCTCAGGTGATCCGCCCACCTTGGCCTCCAAAGTGCTTGGATTACAGGCGTGAGCCACCGCGCCCAGCCCCACACACTAATTCTTTCAACAACCATAGAATACAGATACTACCACCTCAATATTTCAGATGCAGAAACTTAGTCCCAGGGTGGTCAGATCATGCACAGAATATTAAACGGTGGGGCTCAAATGTGAACTCAAGATGTCTTCAAAATGTATGCTTTTGCCACCAGCTGTGCTCTGTGGGGATTCCCCAGTATCGAACGGTGAGACCTCATTATAGTACTGTTTTTTGTTGTTTGTTTTTTTGAGACAAAGTCTCGCTCTGTCAGCCAGGCTGGAGTGCAGTGGCACGATCTTGGCTCACTGCAATCTCCATCTCCAGGCTCAAGCAATTCTCCTGCCTCAGCCTCCAAAGTAGCTGGGATTACAGGTATGTGCCACCATGCCCAGCTAATTTTTGTATATTTAGTAGAGATGGGTTTCACTATGTTAGCCAGGCTGGTCTCAAACTCCTGATCTCAGGCAATCTGCTCGACTCGGCCTCCCAAAGTGCTGGAAATACAGGCATGAGCCACTGCATCTGGCCCTGTTTTTTTGTTTTTGTTTTTGTTTTTGAGATGGAGTTTCACTCTTGTCACCCAGGCTAAAGTGCAATGGTGCGACCTCGGCTCACTGCAACCTCCACCTCTTGGACTTAAGTGATTCTTCCATCTCAGCCTCCCAAGTAGCTAAGACTACAGGAGTAGTCTACCACATGCAGCTAAGATTTAAAATTTTTTGTAGAGATAGGATCTTGGTATGTTGCTTAGGCTGGTCTCGACCTCCTGTCCTCATGTGATCCTCCCACCTCAGCCTCCCAAAGTGCTGGGATTACAGGTGTGAGCTACAGTATCTGACCTTGAACACTCTTTTTTTTCTTTGAGATGGGGTCTTGCTCTGTTCCCAGGTTGGGGTGCAGTGGTAGGATCACAGCTCACTGCAGCCTTGACTTCTCAGGCTCAAGAGATTCTCCTACCTCAGCCTCTCAAGTAGCAAGGACTATAAGAATGCACCACCATGTCTAGCTAACTTTTCTTTTCTTTTTTCTTTATGTTTTATTTTTATTACTTTTAAAAACTCATGATATAAAGAAATTTTTTTTTTTTGAGATACAGTCTCGCTCTATTGCCCAGACTGGAGTGCAATGGCGAAATCTCAGCTCACTGCAATCTCTGCCTCTTGGGTTCAAGCAATTCTTGTGACTCAGCTTCCTGAGTAGCTGGGACTACAGGCATGCAATACCACACCCAGCTAATTTTTGTATTTTTAGTAGAGATGGGGTTTCACCATGTTAGCCAGGCTGGTCTTGAACTCCTGGCCTCATGTGATGTGCCTGCCTTGTCCTCCCAAAGTGCTGAGATTATATGTGTGAGCCACTGTGCCCAGCCATGCCTCACTAATTTTTTAAAAAAAAATTGTGTGGAGATGGGGGTCTTGCTATATTGCCAGGGCTAGTCTCAAACTCCTGGACTCAAGTGATCCTCCTGCCTCAGCCCCCTACAAAGTGCTGGGATTACAGGTTTGAGCCACCATGCCTGGCCATCCAGGCTGCAGTACAATGGTATGATCATGGCTCACTGCAGTCTCCAACTCTGGGCTTATGTGGTCTGCCCACCTCAGTGTCCCAAGTAGGTGGGACTACAGGCATGTACCACCATGACTAGCTAATTTTTATTGTTAGAGATGAGATCTCACTATGTTGTGCAAGGTGGCCTTGAACTCCTGGGGTCAAATGATCCTCCTGCCTCAGCCTTCTAAAGTATTGGGTTTGGCCAGGCATGGTGGCTAACACCTGCAATCACAGCACTTTGGGAGGCTGAGGTGGGCGGATCACCTGAGGTCAGGAGTTCGAAACCAGCCTGGCCAACATGGTGAAACTCCATCCATACTACAAATACAAAAATTAGCCAAGTGTCGTGGCGGGTGCCTGTAATCCCAGCTACTCAGGAGGCTGAGGCGGGAGAATCACTTGAAGCCGGGAGGTGGAGGCTATAGTGAGCTGATGAGATAGCACCACTGCACTGAGGTCTGTGTGACAGAGTGAGACTCTGTCTCTAAAAAAAGAAACAAACAAATAAGGAAACACACAAAGCGTTAGGTTTACAGGCATCAGCCACCATCCCCGGCCAAGCTATTTTTTTACATTAAAAAATCAAGGATTTTAGCGGGGAATTGTAGCTCATGCATATAATCTCAGTACTTTGGGAAGCCGAGGTGGGCATATTACTTTAATTTAGGAGTTTGAGACCAGCAGCCTGGGCAACATGGTGAAACCCTGTCTCTACTAAAAATGCAAAAATTAGCCAAGCATGGTGATGGGCACCTGTAATCTCAGCTACTCCAGAAACTGAGGCACGAGAATCACTTGAACCCAGGAAGGGGAAGTTGCAGTAGGCCAAGACTGTGCCACTGTACTCCAGCCTGGGTAACAGAGCAAGACTCTGTCTCAAAAAAAAAAAAAAAAAAAAAAAAAAATCAAGTATTTTATAGCCATAAAACTAAAACTGTAAAGTACTAAACAGTGGTTGAGCGTCTCTTCTCTGTGTTGTCACTGCATCCTACTCTGTGATATAATTTCCTAAGTACTTGTTGAAATCTCCACTGGAGTCTGAAGTCCCTGAGGCAGGGATAGTATTTTGTTCAAGGTTGCAGTCTTAGCATCCAGTAAAGGGACTGGCATGCAGTAGGTACCCAGTAAAATTCATTTATTTATTTTAAAATAAAATTTGCTGATTGAATGGATGGGTGGGTAGATGGATGAATAGATGGTTAGTCAGCCTGTTCTTATGGCCTTGGTAGAAAATCATAAATCAGCAATATTTGATTCCAGACTTCAGTCATGTCTAATCCGAAGCATTGTCAATGTCTTCCCCAATTGTAATGTTTTCTTGCTCCCAGTGGCACTGTCAGGTTAGGGTAACATAAATGGCTATAATATTTGTCACTCTGTGGGAGAGAGGTGCTAATTTCAGAAATTAGAGAATCTGTGTGACAAAGAGTCAAACAAAAATACTACCTCATTTAACCTCGGGTTTTCATTTTTCACTGGTAAAGAACTGGAATTCTCTGAGTTTTTGAAAAAGTTTGTCTGCTTTTGAAGAGTAGAAGCAAATCCTGCCCTTTCCTAGAAGGATTGAGTAGAAAGAGAATCTTTTTTTCAATTGATCTATTCAAAATTGATTTATTCAACAGCAAAACTTCTAGCTAGCTCTGAAAGCACTTTTGTCTTTAGAAAGCAGAGGGTATGGTGTGAGTGTGGCCGCTTGGGGAAAGATTGATGAGCTATCCAGGTGTCTTAGTCTGGACCAGGCCTGGCCCCCAGTCACCCATCTACTCCAGACTAGCTCTAGCCACTACCATTCCAGTACCTTGTCTTTCCTCTGGAAATTCAGACTTGGCTAAAACCCAGACTCCTATGCCAGAGTGTAGGAGAGGATCGTAGGCCAAGGCCAAAACCTGCTCAGAGACGTCCAGAGGGCCCTTGGAAGCGTTCTGATGCCAAAACAGAAAGTCTCCCCCGCCCCAATCTCCATCCCCTTTTTGATTTAGAGTAAACTTAACCCCCTTTCCTTCTCCCTCTATGGAATACTCTGTAACCAGAAAGTAGAAATAGCCAGCAAGGCTTTCTTACTGCAGTATCTTCTGTTAACTTTAACTTCCGCATCAAATTTTTTCTCTGATACTGCTCATTTCGCTGTTTCCTAGTCTGAAGTGACTTCTTTTTTTTCCTTTGAAGCATCTTCTTCTTCTGATTCAGCTATTCCAGAAAGTAGACACTGGTCACTGAGGATTCCAGAACTAGGCCCACCCACATGTGGCACTCTTCATACAACACTCGAGAGACAGGCTAACTCAGTATGCAGCCTCATAGTGTTGGTTTGGAGTGCTGGGATTACAAGCGTGAGCCACGGTGCCCAGCCGTGTCATGATTTTTTTAAAGCTGCTATTTCTTGGGTATAAGAGTTCAGCTTACCTCATCTGCTATGTTTGCTAGGTGAACAGGAAGACCATCTGAGAGAGAACTGTCAGAGCCACTGGTACTGTTTCCAAAAGAAAAAAAGAAGAGGAAACAGCTGTCATTGATATGTCTAGAAAGCATAACATTTACCACAGTAGCTGTATGGGATTAGGATTAGGAGATCTTCTAGTCTACTATATTATTTTCTTCCTTTTTTATACTTTTGGGATAGGGTCTCACTCTGTCACCCAGGCTGGAGTGCAGTATTGTGATCATAGCTCACTGCAGCCTTTAGCTCCTGGGCTCAAGAGATCCTCCCACCTCAGTCTTCTGAGGAGCTGAGACTACAGGCTTACGCCACCATGGCTGGCTGATTTTAAAAATTCTTGTAGACAAGGGATTGCCTGTGTTGTTGCCTGGGATGGTCTTGAACTTTTGTGTTCAAGTGATCTTCCTGCCTCAGCCTCCTAAAGTGCTGAGATTACAGGTATGAGCAACTGCAACCGCACCCAAACAGTTACTAAGAATTCTTTTTTTTTTTCCCTCGTTTCAAGTTTTAATCAAAGCTTGTATACAAGATCACTTTATTCCTGCATCTTCTCAATTGTTTCTTCCTTGTATCTGCCCTTTTCCTTTCCTGCTTGGCGAGATTTGGCTTTCCGTTCAAGATCTTTTTGCGGTCTTTGCCCAGTTTTTGCCTAGTGATAGCCACCTTGCTGGGGTGAATGCCTGCATGGACAGTTGTGCCATTAGCCTTTTCCCGCTGCACCCGTTCAGTGTAGGTTACGTATTTCTTCCTGTAAACCTGGACTACTTTGCCAATCTGCTGACCTTTATAGTGTCCTCGTACAACCTGAACTTTGTCATCCTTTCGGATGGGCATGGATCGCACGTTGTACTTCTGTCTCAGCTCTTTGGAAAGAGGGGAGGTCATAATCTTCCTGCGAATGTGGGAAGGTGCATTGAAATGCCTTTTGCGATTCTTGCTTCGGTCGAAAGTCACAAAGGGATTGAACTTCATTTTGGCAGCTCCCGCTTAGTTGATGGCCGCAAAAGGAAGGAGAATTGCTAAGAATTCTTGATGGTCCGGCATGGTGGTGCATGCCTGTAATTCCAGCACTTTGGGAGGTCGTGATGGGTGGATCAGCTGAGGTCAGGAGTTTAAGACTACCCTGACTACATGGTGAAACCCCATCTCCACTAAATACAAAAAAATTAGCCAGGTGTGGTGACGCGTGCCTGTAGTCCCAGCTACTTGGGAGGCTGAGGCAGGAGAATAGCTTAAACCTGGGAGGCAGAGATTGCAGTGAGTGGAGATCATGCCATTGCACTCCAGCCTGGGTGACAAAAGTCAAACTCTTGTCTCAAAAAAAAAAAAAAAAAGAATTCTTGAAAAGCACATTCATTCATTCACTCTGAACACCTACGGCATGCCAGGCAGTGTGTTAGGCAAAGGAAACACAGATGAACGAGTCAGAGCCCCTGGCACCAAAGAGTCTGCCATCTGTATGGCAAAGCAAATACTGGCCAGATAGGCAAAGTCGCCCTTGGTGGAGGCTGTGAGAGGCCACAGGATTCTCAATGTGCAGGCCTACAGAACAGCAGAGGACTGTGATTTGTTTGAAGAGGGATCTTTCTCATTCACTCCTCTTTGGCTGGTACCAATTCAGAAAGTAATCCCAGCATTTTGGGAGGCCGAGATGGGTGGCTCACAAGGTAAGGAGTTCAAGACCAGGCTGGCCAACATGGTGAAACCCTGCTTCTACTAAAAATTCAAAAATTAGCTGGGTATGGTGGCAGGTGTCTGTAATCCCAGTTACTCGGGAGGCTGAGGTAGGAGAATTGCTTGAACCCGAGAGGTGGAGGTTGCAGTGAGCCAAGATTGTGCCATTGCACTCTGGCCTGGGTGACAAGAGGAAGACTCCATCTCAAAAAACAAAACAAAACAAAACAAAAAACAAAAACAAGAAATCCAGGATCCTAAGGAGGTACTGTGAAAAAATGTATTCAATAAATTAACAAATACATTTAATAAAGAATCTGAGCATGGAAGACAAAGTAAGACTCTGTCTTTACCAAAAAAAAAAAAAAAAAAAAAAATTAATTAGTGAGCAGTGGTGGTACCTGTCACCTGTGGTCCCAGACACTTGGGAGGCTGAGATAGGAGGACCACTTGTGCCCAAGAGGTTGAGGCTGCAGTGAGCAGAGACTGTGCCACTGTACTCCAGTTTGAGCAACAGGGCAAGAACCTATCTCAAAAAATAAATAAATAACAAAAAGAACCTTCAGGTCACAGACTAAGATTACTTTTATCACCCCAATTTTCCTTCAAAAGTTTTGGATGAGGCCAGGCATGGTGGCTCATGCCTATAATCCCCACACTTTGGGAGGCCAATGCAGGAGGAATCGCTTGAGACCCGGAATTAAAGACCAGATTGGGCAACATAGTGATACCCTGTCTCTATTAAAAAAAAAAAAAAAATTGGCCAGGCGCGGTGGCTCATGCCTGTAATCCCAGCACTTTGGTCAAGAGATCCAGACCATCCTGGCCAACACAGTGAAACCCCATCTTTACTAAAAATTTTTTAAAAATTAGCCAGGCGTGGTGGCACACACCTGTGGTCCCAGCTACTTGGGAAGCTGAGGTGGAAGAATCACTTGAACCCAGGAGGCCAAGGTTGCAGTGAGCTGAGATTGCGCCACTGCATTCCAGCCTGGTGACAGAGCAAGACTCCATCTCAAAAAAAAAAAAAAAAAAAAAAAAAAAAAAAAAAAATTGCCCCATGAGGGGCGTGTCCCGCAGGACCGGGGATGTGGAGTGCCCCTCATCCTGGGAAATGGGGTGTGGCCAAAAAGGCAGCCACCCCTTTTTAAAACAAACAAGTTGGCTGGGCACAGTGGCTCACACCTATAATCCCAGCACATTGGAAGGCTGAGGCTCGAAGATCTCTTGAGGAATTTGAGACTAGCCTGGGCAACATGGCAAAACCCTGTCTCTACAAAAAAAAAAAAAAAAAAAAAATTACAAATATTAGCCAGGTGTGGTGTGCCTATAGTCCCAGCTACTGGGGAGGGTAAGCTGGGAGAATCACTTGAGTCCAGGAGCTTGAGGCTATAGTGAGCTGTGATTGTGCCACTGACTCTAGCCTGGGTGACAGAGCGATACCCTTTCTAAAAAAAAAGTTTGGATGCTCATGTAGACTAATCTGAAGTCTTCCCTCAGAAACTGTGTCTTCCCCCTTTCTGCAAGGGCTAGGATGAATGAAAACTCAAATAATCAATCCTTTCTTTGTGTCCTTTGCTTAAATGTCACATTATATTTTCCCCTTTCCTGGGGTTTGACTGGCTAGAACTGAGCTTTTCTCTATGACAGGGGGTCTATACATAGAAACTTTATTGGCACAAGGCCAGGCACAGTGGCTCATGCCTGTAATCCCCGCACTTTGGGAGGCCAAGATGGGCAGACCACTTAAGGTCAGGAGTTTGAGACAAGCCTGGCCAACATTGTGAAACTCCATCTCTATTAAAAATACAAAAAAAAAAAAAAGCCGGGCGCGATGGCTCAAGCCTGTAATCGCAGCACTTTGGGAGGCCGAGGCGGAGGTCAAGAGATCGAGACCATCCTGGTCAACATGGTGAAACCCCGTCTCTACTAAAAATACAAAACATTAGCTGGGCGTGGTGGCACGTGCCTGTAATCCCAGCTACTCAGGAGGCTGAGGCAGGAGAATTGCCTGAACCCAGGAGGCGGAGGTTGCGGTGAGCCGAGATAGCGCCATTGTACTCCAGCCTGGGTAACAAGAGCGAAACTCCGTCTCGAAAAAAAAAAAAAAAAATACAAAAAAAAAAAATTTTAGCTGGGCATAGTAGCAGGTGCCTGTAATTCTGGCTACTTGGGAGACTGAGGGACGGGAATTGCTTGAACCCAGAGGGTGGAGATTACAATGATGCAGTGAGCTGAGATTGTGCCACTGCACTCCAGCCTGGGTGACAGAGTGAGTCTCCGTCTCAAACAAAACAAAACACCAAACATTTATTGGCACAGAGCTCAAATCACATGGGAAAAGTCAGCATTGCAAACCAGTCAGCTGCCCAGCACTTCATTCTGTTTCTGCTCCCCTTGCTCTTCTCAGTGTACAATGAGTAGTCACACTGCAAGACAGCAGGAAGAAAACCCCATCTTCTCTGATCTAATTCCCAATTCCCTGTTCCCACTAGGTTTTTCTAGTCAAGGACACCGGAAGTTCTCTTGGTAGAAAACTTTAGCAATGGGACAAAAGCACTAAAAGCAGTATGTCCCAGAAAGTGTCAAAACCTGTGTGTACACACACAGAGCAAACTCAAACTAGGCTTGTACACTCACAGTCTGCTTTTCTTTGCAATTATGAGAATGAATAGGTGGAACCCCGCTGGAGGCTTGTAACAGCCAATCTCCTGAGGCAGAGCCTGGCAAATTGGTTTCCATAATTCTTTATTTTTTTCTTAAGATGGAGTCTCACTTTGTTGCCCAGGCTGGAGTTCAGTGGTGCAATCTCGGCTCACTGCAATCTCTGCCTCCTGGGTTCACGTGATTCTCCTGCCTCAGCCTCCTGAGGAGCTGGGATTACAAGCACATGTCACCACACTGGCTTATTTTTTGTAGTTTTAGTAGAGAAAGGGTTTCACTGTGTTAGCCATGGTGGTCTTGATCTCCTGACATCATGATCTGCCTGCCTTGGCCTCCCAAAGTGCTACAGGTGTGAGCCACTGTGCCTGGCTGGTTTCAATAATTCTTAACCATATGCATCAGAGTGTCCCTGCTGAGCCACTAGAATGCAGAGTCTGCCTGTTTCTGAGTTGATTGCCCCTGTGGTCGGGAATTAGAGACCAGCCTGACCAATATGGAAAAACCCTGTCTTTACTAAAAATACAGAATTAGCCAGGCATGGTGGCGAATGCCTCTAATCCCAGCTACCCTGGAGGCTGAGGCAGAAGAATTGCTTGAACTCGGGAGGCAGAGGCTGTGGTGAGCCGAGATTGTGCCATTGCACTCCAGCCTCGGCAACAAGAGCAAGACTCTGTCTCAACAAAAAACAAAACAAAACAAAACAAAACAAAAAAACAGATAGATAATATGATCTGATTTAGGTTTTTAAAAAAATCATTCTTCTGGTTTTTTTTCAGCCTTGCTAGTCCCTCCTTCTTAGTCACTTACGCTGGGTACTCCCCTATTAAAGTTGTAGTGTCCAGCTGAAACCTCACACTTGGACTTCTTCTCTATCTGCACTAACTTCCTTGAGATCCCACCCAGTTGTTGTTGTTTTGTCTAACTCTGTAGCCCAGGTTGGTGTATAGTAGTGTAGCCATAGCTCACTGCAACCTTGAACTCCTGAGCTCAGCAATCTCCTGCCTCAGCCTCTTGAGTAGCTAGGACTACAGATGCATGCCCCTACCCCTGCTAAGTTTTTTGGTTGTTTTGTTTTTTTTTTTTGAGACGGAGTTTCACTTTGGTTACCCAGGCTGGAGTGCAATGGCGCGATCTCGGCTCACCGCAACCTCCGCCTCCTGGGCTCAGGCAATTCTCCTGCCTCAGCCTCCTGAGTAGCTGGGATTACAGGCATGCGCCACCACGCCCAGCTAATGTTTTGTATTTTTAGTAGAGGCGGGGTTTCACCATGTTGACCAGCATGGTCTCGATCTCTTGACCTAGTGATCCACCTGCCTCGGCCTCCCAAAGTGCTGGGATTATAGGCTTGAGCCACTGCGCCCAGCCGTTTTTTTTCTTTTTTTTTGAGACAGAGTCTCGCTTTGTCACTCAGACTGAAATGTGGTGGTGCAGTCCTGGCTCACGGCAACCTCCACCTCTGGGGTTCAGGCGATCCTCCCTCCCTCCTCAGCCTCTAGAGTAGCTGGGAATACAGGCATGTGCCACCACATACGGCTAATTTTTGTATTTTTAGTAGAATGGGGTTTCATCATGTTAGTCAAGCTAGTCTTGAACTCCTGACCTCAAGTGATCCTCCTGCCTCGGCTTCCCAAAGTGCTAGGATTACAGGTGTGAGCCATGTAATGGCTGGCCTGGCCCTCAGTTAAAGTTGAAATATCTACCTGGCTGGGCATGGTGGCTCCCAGTTGTAATCCCAGCAATTTGGAAGGCTGAGGCAGGTGGATCCCTTGAGTCCAGTATTTAGAGACCAGCCTGGGCAACATGGCAAAACCTGTTCTCTATTTAAAAAATACAAAAATTAACTGGGTGTGATGGTACACACCTGCAGTCTCAGCTACTTGGGGAGCTGAGGCAGGAGGATTGCTTGAGCTCAGGAAGTTGAGGATGCAGTGAGCAGAGATTGTACCACTGCACTTCAGCCTGGGTGGAGAGCAAGACCCTGTCTCAAGAAAAAAAAAAATCATCTATCCAATGACGACTCTCTCCATCGACCCACTGGACCTCTCCACTGAACTCCAGACCCATATATCCTACGGTTTGTTCAATAACTCCACTAAATATATAATGGGCATTACAAGCTTAACAAGCCTAACGCCAGACTCCTGATCTTCACTGCCTCCCTATTTGCACTCCTTTGATCTTTCCTATCTCAGCTAAAGGCAACTCCATCCAACCAATCGTGGAGTCATTGTCTTCTTTTTTTATTTTAATTATGGAGTCTTACTCTGTCACCCAGGCTGAAGTGCAGTGGTGCCATCTTGGCTTACTGCAACCTCCACCTCCCGGGTTCAAGCAATTCTCCTGCCTCAGCCTCCCGAGTAGCTGGAATTACAGGCACGCGCCAATACATCCAGCTAATTTTTGTATTTTTAGTAAAGATGGGGTTTCACCATGGTGATCAGGTTGGTCTCGAACTCCAGACCTCATGATCTGCTGGCCTCGGTCTCCTAAAGTGCTGGGATTACAGGCGTGATCCACCACGCCTGGCCCATTCTCTTCTTTTCTCATGCCCCATATCCAATCGTAGGCAAATCTTAATGTTTATAATTTCAAAATATAGCTAGAATCCAACCAATCCACACATCCCTCTGCAACCACTACTGGTACTCTGGTCTAAGCCGCTATTACCTTTTACCTGTATTATTGCAAGAGCCTCCTACGGACTCTCCCTGATTAGAACTTTCCTCTTTATGATCTATTTTTCACACAGAAGCCAGTGTTCCTGTTGAAACTAAAACCTGTCACACCAGTTGCCTACAAGGCCCTATACAAACTGCCTGCCCAACTCCCTACTCCTTTCTAATGCCTAAAACAGAGGCTTGCAAAGAATATGCACTTTTTATTGTTGTTGATGTTTCTGAGCCTGTCGACAGGCTCGAGTGCAGTGGCATGATCTTGGCTCACTGTAGTCTTAACTTCCTGGGCTCAGGTGATCCTCCCACCTCAGCCTCTCTAGCAGCTGGGACTACAGGCGTGTACCACCAAGCCCAGCTAATTTTTTATTTTTTGTAAAGACAAGATCTCACTATATCACCCAGGCTAACAACAAAGTATTAAAAATAAAACAAAAGAAAACCCTGGTTTTTCTTTGTTACCTGGATTCAATGTCAGACAAAGAGATATTACTCCAGCTTCCTTCTAAATCTTTATCTCGTCCAAGTTCATTGAATTTCTTGTGGATTTTCTGTCGTAAAAGCTCCTTAAGCTCTGCCAGACACTGAGTGAACTATAAAAGTGAAAAAAAGAATTATTTTGACAATTCATTTTATTTATTTATTTATTTATTATTTTTTTTTTGAGATGGAGTTTCGCTCTTGTTGCCCAGGCTGGAGTGCAATGGTGCAATCTTGACTCACTGCAACCTCTGCCTCCTGGGTTCAAGTGATTCTCCTGCCTCAGCCTCCTACATAGCTGAAATTACAGGCATGTGCCACTACACCCAGCTAATTTTGTATTTTCAGTAGAGATGGGGTTTCACTATATTGGTCAGGCTGGTCTCAAACTCCTGACCTCAGGTGATCCACCTGCCTTGGCCTCCCAAATTGCTGGGATTACAGGGGTGAGCCATCACGCCTGGTCCATTTTATTTATTCATCAAGTATTTACTAAGTAAATGCTGAAAGGCATTTTATTTATTGCTGGGAACAAAAAGACGAATAATCTGCATTCCTGTTATTAAGGACATGTTAACAGATAAATTATGTAAGCTGGAGGAACAGATAAACTTTTTTTTAGAGCAGAACATTAATGAGCACTGCTGTTGCCACTTTTCTCTGGCTGTAGCCAACTTCTTTTTTTTTTTATTTTTTTCTGAGACAGAGTCTCACTCTGTTGCCAGGCTGTAGTACAGTGGTGCGATCTCGGTTCACTGCAACCTCCACCTCCTGGGTTCAAGCGATTCTCCTGCCTCAGACTCCCGAATAGCTGGGACTACAGGTGTGCACCATGATGATGCCCATCTAATTTTTTTTTTTTTTTGAGACAGAGTCTCGATCTGTTGCCCAGGCTGGAGTGCAGTGATGTGGTCTTAGCTCACTGAAACCTCTGCCTGCAGGGTTCAAGCAATTCTGCTTCAGCCTCCTGGGTAGCTGGGTAGCTGAGAATACAGGCACCTACCACCACGCCTGGCTACTTTTTTTTTTTTTTTTTTGAGACAGAGTCTCGGTTTGTGGCCAGGTGCCAGGCTGGAGTGCAGTGGCGCAATCTCAGCTGACTGCAACCTCCACCTCCTGAGTTCAAGCAATTCTCCTGCCTCAGCCTCCCAAGTAGCTGGGACTACAGGCATGCCACCATATCCAGCTAATTTTTGTATTTTTTTTTAGTAGAGATGGGGTTTCACCATGTTGGCCAGGATGGTCCCGATCTCTTGACCTCGTGATCTGCCCGCCTTGGCCGCCCAAAGTGCTGGGATTACAGGTGTAAGCCACCGCGCCCGGCCTATTTTTTATTTATTTATTAATTTTATTAGAGATGGGGTTTCATCGTGTTGGTCAGCTTATTTTATATTTTTTTTAGAGACAGGATGTCACCCAGGCTGAAGTGCAGTGGCACAATCATGGCTCACTGCAGCCTTAACCTCCCAGGCTCAAGCCTCCCACCCCAGCCTCCCCAGTAGCTGGGATTACAAGCACATGCCAACACATGTGGCTAATTTGTGTATTTTTTTTGTAGAGACAGTCTCACTTTGTTGTTCAAGCTGATTTCCAACTTTTGGGCTCAAATGATCACCTGCCTCCGCCTCCCAAAGTGCTGGGATTATAGGCATGAGCCACTGTACCCTACTTATTTTTATCTTTTTGCTCTTTGTTGCCTTTCAAAAGCATACTCTACTTGTTTTATTTTTTTTTTTTATTTTTTTTTTTTTTTGAGACGGAGTTTCGCTCTTGTTACCCAGGCTGGAGTGCAATGGCGCGATCTCGGCTCACCGCAACCTCCGCCTCCTGGGTTCAGGCAATGCTCCTGCCTCAGCCTCCTGAGTAGCTGGGATTACAGGCACGCGCCACCATGCCCAGCTAATTTTTTGTATTTTTAGTAGAGACGGGGTTTCACCATGTTGACCAGGATGGTCTCGATCTCTTGACCTCGTGATCCGCCCACCTCGGCCTCCCAAAGTGCTGGGATTACAGGCTTGAGCCACCGCGCCCGGCCTGTTTTATTTTTTTGATGTAACAAGGAAGGAAAACTTAGAATGAGGTTGTTCAGATTTTGACCCATGGAAAATATGGTTTAACAGACTGTGTTGTGGTTAAATTTTCCTTTGAATATTTTCATTAAACAGTTGCATCTAGGGTAGAGCATATCCAGTGTTCTTAGGGTCAGCATTTCAGAAGGGGCATGAGAGATGAATTAGAGACCATGAGTACAGACTACTCCCCAACCCCGCCACTTTTTTTTGAGATGGGATCTTGCTTTGTTGCTTAGGCTGGGGAAATCACAGCTCACTGCAGTCTCTCAACCTCCTGGGCTCAAGTGATCCTTCCACCTCACTCTCCCAAATAACTGGGACTATAAGCAGGTACTACCATACTTGACTAATTTTTCAAAATTCTTTTGTAGAGACTGGGTCCTAGTATGTTTCCTTGGCTCGTCTTGAACTCCTGTGTTCATGCGATTCTCCTGCCTCAGCCTCCCTAAGTGCTGGGATTACAACCAGCCCATACCCCTTTTTAAGAAGGCCAAGAGGCCAGGTGCAGTGGATCATGCTTCCCAAAACTTTGGGAGGCTGAGGTGGGAGGATGCTTGATCTCAGGAGTCCAAGACCAGCCTGGGGAACATAGCAAGGCCACATCTCTACAAAAAATACAAAAATTAGCTTGGTATGGTGGTGTGTACCTGTGGTCCTAGCTTCTTGGGAGACTGTGGCAGGAGGATCACTTGGGTCCAGCAATTGTAGTCTGCAGTAAGCTATGATCATGCCATTGTACTTTAGTCTGGGCAACAGAGTGAGAACCTAAGACAAAAAAAAAAAAAAAGAATGATAAAGGGAGTCGGAAATAACCTGCTGGAGGCCAGGCGTGGTGGCTCATGCCTGTAATCCCAGCACTTTGGGAGGCTGAGGTGGGGGGATCACCTGAGGAGTTTGAGACCAGCCTGGCCAACATGGTGAAACCCCATCTCTACTAAAAATACAAACATTAGGGCTGAGCGTGGTGGCTTATACCTGTAAACCCAGCACTTTGGGAGGCCAAGGCAGCTGGATTGCTTGAGGCCAGGAGTTCAGGACCAGCCTGGCCAATGTGGTAAAACCCCATCTCTACTAAAAATACAAAAATTAGCCAGACAGGGTGGTGCACACCTTCAATCCCAGCTACACAGGAAGCTGAGGTGGGAGAATTGCCTGAACTCTCTACTGCACTCCAGCCTGGGTAACAGAATGAGACTCTACAAAAAAAAAAAAACAACAACAACCAGAAAGGAAAAAAAACAATCTGCTGGAGGAACAAAGCTAAAGGAAACTTTTGTTTTGTTTGTGTTTAGGATAGGGGTAGCTGGGAACACTTGTAGCTGAGGGAAAGCAAAGAGAGAAAAAAATTGAGGACATAGATAAGAGAAGAAATGATAATAATCACGATTAGTTTTTTGTTTTTCAAGAAGACATAATTAATGAAGTGAGACCTCAGGAAAGCCGTAGGGGAAGCTGACAAGTACACACAGAGCACGGCTAATTTTGGAGAAGAGAAAAAACAACATCTGGGCACAGTGGCTCACGCCTGTAATCCCAGAACTTTGGGAGGCCAAGGCTGATGGATCATCTGAGGTCAGGAGTTCCAGACCAGCCTGACCAATATGGTGAAACCCCATCTCTACTAAAAAAAAATACAAAAATTAGCCGGTTGTGATGGCACACACCTGTAATCCCAGCTAATCAGGAGGCTGAGGAGGGAGAATCCCATGAACCTGGGAGGCAGAGTTTGCAGTGAGCTGAGATCAAGCCACTGCACTCCAGCCTGGGCAACAAGAGGGAGACCCAGTCTCAAAAAAAAAAAAAAAAAAAAAAGAGAGAAAAGAAAAGACACCTGATTTTCTAAAATAAGAGAAAGGAAAGATAATTGGTGTTGTAGCTGGGCACAGTGGCTCATGCTTGTAATCCCAGCAGTTTGAGAGGCTGAGGCAGGAGGATTATAAACCCAGGAGTTGGAGACCAGCCCAATAACAGAGAGAAACGCTGTCTCTATAAAAACTTAAAAATTGGGCCGGTCGTGGTGGGTCACGTCTGTAATCCCAGCACTTTGGGAGGCCGAGGCGAGTGGATCACGAGGTCAAGAGATCGAGACCATCCTGGTCAACATGGTGAAATCCCGTCTCTACTAAAAATACAAAAAATTAGCTGGGCATGGTGGTGCATGCCTGTAATCCCAGCTACTCAGGAGGCTGAGACAGGAGAATTGCCTGAACCCAGGAGGCGGAGGTTGCGGTGGGCCGAGATCACACCATTGCACTCCAGCCTGTGTAACAAGAGCGAAACTCCATCTCAAAAAAAAAAAAAAAAACTTGGCCGGGCGCGGTGGCTCAAGCCTGTAATCCCAGCACTTTGGGAGGCTGAGGCGGGTGGATCATGAGGTCAAGAGATCAAGACCATCCTGGTCAACATGGTGAAACCCCGTCTCTACTAAAAATACAAAAAATTAGCTGGGCATGGTGGCGTGTGCCTGTAATCCCAGCTACTCAGGAGGCTGAGGCAGGAGAATTGCCTGAACCCAGGAGGCGGAGGTTGCGGTGAGCCGAGATTGCGCCATTGCACTCCAGCCTGGGCAAGAAGAGCGAAACTCTGTCTCAAAAAAAAAAAAAAAAAAAAAAAAACTTAAAAATTAGCTGTGTGTGGTGGTGCACACTTGTGGTCTCAACTACTCAGGAGGCTAAGGTGTTGAGGCTGCAATAAACCATGATCATGCCATTGCACTTAAGCTTAGGTGACAGAGTGAGACCCTGTCTCAAAAAAAAAAAAAAAAGAGCAGGGCGTGGTGGCTCACGCCTGTAATCCAAGCACTTTGGAGGCCAAGGTGGGTGGATCACCTGAGGTCAAGAGTTCAAGGCCAGCCTGACCAACATGGTGAAACCCTGTCTTTAAAAAAAAAAAAAAAACAAGAGTACAGGTTATTGATCGACTTACGACCTATGCAACTTACGACCATTCGACTTCACGACCACAATCGCTAGCCACGACTGCTCCACGTCTGGCAGCACAAATGTTGCCCAGCTGGGCGTACAACAGTGCGTACCAGCTTTTGGCAGCACTACCATCTCCGCGTGCACCATTTCAACTGTACATATAGTCTACTCAACTTACGACCATATTGTGTTGTTCCGCGGTCCCGACCGTGGTCGTAAGTCGAGCACTGCCTGTAAGTGTTGCCATAGGTAAGTAAGCTCAGAAGTGAGGGAAATGTGTTCTAAAGGACTGTCTCCATCTCCTTGGTGAATTATGAGGTCTTACCATTTGCAGACAGTGAGTAGGGTGGGGGCTTTCTTATTTTCTTTGATGTTTATATAAAAACTTCACAAAACTAGTAAGAGGAAAATAAAGATTGCCTATAATTCCACTGGACTCACTTTGAACCCATGTGAAACTGATCACAGCAGCATCACCACATTTTCTTTCTTTCTTTCTTTATTTTTCTGAGACAGAGTCTCAGTCTTGCTAGGTCATCCAGGCTGGAGTGCAGTAGCTTGATATCAGCTCAGTGCAATCTCTACCTCCCAGGTTCAAGCGATTCTCATGCCTCAGCCTCCTGAGAGCTGGATTACAGGCACACATCACCATGCCCAGCTAATTTTTTGTATTTTTACTAGAGATGGGGTTTTGCCATGTTGCCCAGGCTGGTCTTGAACTCCTGAGCTCAGGCAATCTGCCCTCCTCAGCCTCCCAAAGTGCTAGGATTACAGGCGTGAGCCACTTTGCCTGGCCTGTACCACATTTCTTGAAACCCCATTTTTACCTTGGTTTGGTCAGGATCACAAAGGTCCAGAAGGGTGTCACAGACATGGTAACCTAAGGACTTCAGATCTTCAGTGGTAAAGTGGGTGCCTTTTTTACTACCTGGAAAAAACCAACCCACAAACATTTCCAATTAAATCTTAATGACTGAATGCAAATCTAATTTATGGTTATCTTTTTAAAAATACCACCACTGGCCGGGCACAGTGGCTCATGCCTATAATCCCAGCACTTTGAGAGACCAAGATAGGCCCTTTGTGGGAGCCTAGGAGCTCAAGACCAGCCTGGGCAACACAGTGAGACCTTGTCTCTACAAAAAAAACAAAAATTAGCCTCACACTGTGGCATGTGCCTATAGTCCCAGCTACTCAGAAGGCTGAGGCCAGAGGCTAAGTCAGGAGTATCACCTGAGCCAGGGAGGCAGAGGTTGCAGTGAGCCGAGATTGTGCCACTGTGCTCCAGCCTGGGTAACAGAGGGAGACCCTGTCTCAAACAAACAAAACAAAACACCTCTGATTCTAGAATATTATGCTTCAGGAGAGTGTAGCTGTCCTAATTTTAGTTTGGTTCAGAAGAATCTTTGGCAACGAAAAAGATTACAGTCAGGATGGTTCTAATTAGTGAGGTTTTTACTTTGTGTTAGGCACGATGGCACGTGCTCGCCAAGCATCATCTCACTAAGCAGTACCTACAATGCAAGTACTATTACTACTGCCAGTAAAAGAAAAGTGAGGCTGGGCGTGGTGGCTCATGCCTGCTATCCCAGAACTTTGAGCGGCTGAGGCAGGAGGATTGCTTGAGCCAGGGAGTTTGAGACTAGCTTGGGCAACATAGGGAGACTATGTCTCTACAAAAAAATTAAAAAATTAGCTGGGCACGGTGATGTGCGCCTGAGTCCCAGCTACACAAGAGGCTGAGGTGGGAGAATCACTTGAGCCGGGGAGGTTGAGACTGCAGAGAGCCATGATCATGCCACTGTACTCCAGCCTGGGTGAAAGAAACCCTATCTCAGAAAAAAAGAAAAAGGAAGGAAGGAAGGAAGGAAGTTAGTTCAAAAAGGTTAGATAATTTACCCAAGAACACAAAACTTGTTAATGGAGCTGAAACTCAACCCCCTATCAGCCTGATTCCAGGTATTTAGCAACCACTATTCCATACTGCCCCATCAAATATTATATTTCACCTTCATATTTTGTGCACTCAAATGTAGCATGTCTAGACAAAGAAATCCTCTAGATCCGTTATCTCCCCAGCATTCAAAGGCATTTCATCTCCGTGATGCTTTGCTTGGCTTTCTCTTGCCATGCTGGTCTAGGATACGCAAAGAACGTACCCAGGGTGGAGCCGCCGAAGGTGGACTCCATGGTGTAGCTGTTTAGGATTCCCATCCGCCACATCACAACTCGTCCTGTTCCTTCTTTGCATTTTTGGACCTTAAAATTACAACTGTGAAAAGAGAACTAAAAAGAAATCCAAATTTTCTGTTAATCATAAATTGGCCAATATGAAAGTCTAAGATTCATTAATATGATACAAAAATAGTTTCCTTGGGTTAATGTATTATTTCTTAAAGCATGTTCCATAAAAATACTCATTTGGAGGTATGTTAACAGGTATTACAGGGGGAAAAGTTCTGTGGTCACGTTAGGGAGCTGAAGGGTTAACAAAACTAAACAGAAAGCTTTCTCTGCAAGCCCTTTCAGAGTGTTTAATAGGTGGACTGCAATCTTCCAAAGGGAAGAGAGTATATTTGCAATTTGTTTTCCAAACTTTTTTGCCCACGAACCCTTCCTTCCTGTTGTCCCCACCCCACTTCCCCAAGAAGAATTTTGCAGGACTAGGTTTCCTAGAATATCTGTTTGGCATTCAAGGCACTAGCCAACCTTTCTTTTTTTTTTTTTTTTTTTTGAGACGGAGTTTCGCTCTTGTTACCCAGGCTGGAGTGCAATGGCGCGATCTCGGCTCACCACAACCTCCACCTCCTGGGTTCAAGCAATTCTCCTGTCTCAGCCTCCTGAGTAGCTGGGATTACAGGCATGTGCCACCATGCCCAGCTAATTTTTTTGTATTTTTAGTAGAGACGGGGTTTCACCATGTTGACCAGGATGGTCTCGATCTCTTGACCTCGTGACCCACCCGCCTCAGCCTCCCAAAGTGCTGGGATTACAGGCTTGAGCCACCGCGCCCGGCTTACTAGCCAACCTTTCTAACACTTATTTTCTGCCCCTCCCCAACTTGAACCCCTAAAACTAGCTGTGCTTATCTTCTCTCTATGATACGTGTATTCCTTACCCCTGTAATCTCTGCCTGGAACTCTCTCCCCCTTACACTAACCTTATCACTAGGAGTTTGATATCCTCCGCTATCTTTTACGATCCCTCAGCCCTTGTGTCTCACTTGGAGTTTGTAATATACACTTGGCACCTCTCCCTATTCACCCTATCCTGCTAAAAAGATTCTGCAGTTGGAGGGTATCTCATTGTCCAGTGACTTTTAAATTGTGTTCTGTGGAACCCAGGGTTCTGTTGAGGAGCCTCAGGGCTTTTTTGCTTCAAAGAGTGAAGGAGCAAGAGGAGACAGGGTTCCCTGCTTCAATTAGTTTGTTTTAGATATGGGTTCTGGGTGTGATTTCCCAAACAAAAAGAAAAGAGAGAAGAGAAAGAAACAAAGAAAAGGAAAGAAAGGAAAAAAGGAAAAGCAAGCAAGCAAGAGAGAAGAAAGCAAGAAAGAGAGCGAGAAGAAAGCAAAAATGTAAGAAAGAAAGATGGCTGGGGGCGGTGGCTCACGCCTGTAATCCCAGCACTTTGGGAGGTGGAGGTGGGCGGATCACAGCGTCAGAATTTTGAGACCAGCCGGGCCAATGTGGTGAAATCCCCTCTCTACTAAAGATAAAAAAATTAGCGGGGCACGGTGGTGCCTGCCTGTAACCCCAGCTACTCAGGAGGCTGAGGCAGGAAAATCGTTTGAACTCGGGAGGTGGACGTTACAGTGAGCGGAGATCACACCACTGCACTTTGGCCTGGGCAACAGAGGGAGGCAACAACAACAACAAAGGGCCGGGCGTGGTGGCTCACGCCTGTAATCAGCACTTTGGGAGGCCGAGGCGGGCAGATCACAAGGTCAAGAGATGGAGACCATCCTGGCCAACATCTTGAAACCCTGTCTCTACTAAAAAATACAAAAATTAGCCGGGCGCTGTGGCTCACGCCTGTAATCCCAGCTCTCAGGGAGGCAGAGGCGGGAGGATAGCTTGAGCCCAGGAGTTCGAGACCTGCCTGGGCAATATAGCAAGACCCCGTTCTCCACAAAAAGGGAAAAAAAAAAAAAGACAAAAAAAAAAAAGACAAAAATTAGTTGGGCGTGGTGGCGTGAGCCTGTAGTCCCAGCTACTAGGGAGGCTGAGGCAGGAGAACTGCTTGAACCTGGGAGGCCAAGGTTGCAGTGAACCGAGATGGTGCCACTGCACTCCAGCCTGGTGCCTGGTGACAAAGTGAGACTCTGTCTCAAAAAAAAAAAAAAAAAAAGCCGGGCGCGGTGGCTCAAGCCTGTAATCCCAGCACTTTGGGAGGCCGAGGCGGGTGGATCACGAGGTCAAGAGATTGAGACCAGCCTGGTCAACATGGTGAAACCCCGTCTCTACTAAAAATACAAAAAATTAGCTGGGCATGGTGGTGTGTGCCTGTAATCCCAGCTACTCAGGAGGCTGAGGCAGGAGAATTGCCTGAACCCAGGAGGCGGAGGTTGCGGTGAGCCGAGATCGCGCCATTGCACTCCAGCCTGGGTAACAAGAGCGAAACTCCGTCTCAAAAAAAAAAAAAAAAAAAAAAAAAGGAAGGAAAGAGAGATAAAGAAAGAAAAAGACACAGGGCGGGCATAGTGGCTCACACCTGTAATCCCAGCTACTCAGGAGGCTGAGGCAGGGGACTAGCTTGAACCCGGGAGGCAGAGGTTGCAGTGAGCTGAGATTGCGCCACTGCATTCTATCTTGGGTGACAGAGCGAGACTGTTTCAAGAAAAAGAAAAGAGGAAGGAAGAAAAGCTTCCTCTTTTCTTATTTTAAACAAATAAGAATAACAATACAAAATATTAGTCTCATATATCTTTATGTTAAAAAACTTGTATTATCATTTACATACTTTTCTAAGGCCAGGTGCAGCGGCTCACACCTGTAATCCCAGCAAGTTAGAAGGCTGAGGTGGAAGGGTCGCTTGAACCCAGGAGTTCAAGACCAGCCTGGGTAACATAGTGGGACTCCATCTCTGTGGGAGGAAAAAAAAAAAAAACCTTAAAAATATCCACGCTAGGCCAGGCAGAGTATGGTGGCTCACTGCACCCAGCCCACAGCAATTCTTAAAACCACGCTTTTCACCAGGCACAGTAGCTCATGCTTGTAATCCCAGCACTTTGGGAGGCAGAAGCGGGTGGATCAAGAGGTCAGGAGTTCGAGACCAGCCTGACCAACATGGTGAAACCCCATCTCTACTAAAAATACAAAATTAGCCGGGCATGATGGTATGCACCTGTAATCCCAGCTACTGGGGAGGCTGAGGCAGAAGACTAGCTTGAACCCAGGAGGCAGAAGTTGCAGTGTGCTATCTTGCCATTGCACTCCAGCCTGGACAACAGAGTGTGACTCCGTGTCAAAACAAAACAAAACATCCTTTTCTAAATTCCTGAAGTCTAGGTTGCTGGGATTTACCAAAGATAATAAAAAAGAGATACAAAGTGCAAAATAAAATACTACATATAGGAAGTAGCGAGTTCCCTTTTCCCTAACTCAATGAACAGAAAATTACATTATGTGCTTACCTTATCTGGTGCATTTTTGCTTAACATTAAAGGAAAAACTCGTTCATGAAGCCAGTACTTGTGATTGTTGTTATTACAGCCATACAGGAAGATATTATTCTTACGACTGTGGCCATGGAAATCACAATACAACAGAACCTCTCTTTCTTCAAGAAGTCTATTGAGGGGGCAAACAAAGGACTTAGTGGACACCCAAATGCATGCAAATAATTAAGGATCATTTGGCATCTCTGCCGTAAGGACAGTTGTTGATACCTTTTCCCTCCTAAGAAAATCTCAACTCCAATGGCCTTCAATGGACCCTACCTCCATTCTCAGCCAGTGCAGAAAACATGTCACCAGCCTGCCTTGTCAGTCAGAAGGACTTGAAATGAAAATCATTTTTTTTCTTTTTTGAGACAGGGTCTTGCTCTGTTGCTCAGGCTGGAGGGTAGTGGCCTGACTGCCTCACTTAGCCTTAACTTCCTGGGCTCAAGTCATCCGCCCACCCCTACTATCCAAATACCTCTTGGTAGACCCCAGAGGGGATTATATCTCAACATGAGATTTGGACAGGGAAAAATACCCAAACTATATCACCCTGTCTCTACAAAAAAAAAAAAAAAAAAAAAAAAAAAAAAAAAAAAAAAAACCAACCGCCGGGCGCAGTGGCTCACATCTATAATCCCAGCACTTTGGGAGGCCAAGGCTGGTGGATCACGAGGTCAAGAGATCGAGACCATCCTGGTCAACATGGTGAAACCCCGTCTCTACTAAAAATACAAAAATTAGCTGGGCATGGTGGCGCACACCTGTAGTCCCAGCTACTCGTGAGGCTGAGGCAGGAGAATTGCTTGAACCCAGGAGACAGAGGTTGCAGTGAGCCGAGATCGAGCCATTGCACTCCAGCCTGGGTAACAAGAGCGAAACGCTGTCTCAAACACACACACAAACACACACACACAACCACCAACAACAAAAAAGAAAGCCTGGTGTACTGGTGTGTGCCTCTAGTCCCAGCTACTCCTGACCTCAAGTGATTCACCTGCCTTAGTCTCCCAAAGTGCTCAGATTGCAGACATGAACCACCATGCCCAGCCAGGTATTTCTTTATAACAATGCAAGTAAAACCTAATACACAGGCCTCACTATGTTCCCCAGGTTGGTCTCCAACCTCTGGGCTCAAGTGATCCTCCCGCCTCAGCCTCTCAAAGTGCTGGGATTACAGGCATGAGTCACGGTGCCTGACCAGAAATGGCAATTTCTGATGTGGAAGTGGGTGATGGGTAGCTTTGTGTAAGTTGACAAGGAAGTGGAAAAAAACCTATTGAGAAAAAGCCCACCATGGTACAGACCTGTGAGGAAAGAGGAGACAGAGCGTGGGCAGTTGCAGGAAAGAAAAAGAACCAAAGAAAGCCATGGTTCCTGACTTTTGAGGGCTCATTCCTACAAGGCTCAGCTCTTCTTTGTCTCATGATCACCTAGGACACCTATTCCAACTTTCCAAACATGTTCACTTTCTCCATGATGAATATAATAACAACAATGCTACACATTTATAATGTGCCGCATAGGACAGTAAATAGATCTTGTGATTATCTCAATCCTCACAGTTACCACCCAAGGCAGGTATTATTCCCATTCTGCAGATAGGAAAGCTGAAGCTCAGACACATTAAATCACTTAGCCAAGGTCATAGAACCAACTAGCAGTAAAAACAAAGTCTCAAACTGTAAAAACAGTAAAAATGGAAGTCTGAAAGCAGTAAAAACAGCAGTCTCAAACTCAGGCCTGACTCCGAAACATGTGCTCTTAGCTATCGTGCTTGCCATGGCACGATCTCGGCTCACTGCAATGTCTGCCTCTCAGGTTCAAGTGATTCTCCTGCCTCAGCCTCCCAAGTAGCTGGGATTAAAGGCACCCACTACCATGCCTGGCTAATTGTTGTATTTTTAGTAGAGACAGGGTTTCACCATGTTGGCGAGGCTGGTCTTGAACTCCAGATCTCAGGTGATCTGCCCGCCTTGTCCTCCCAAAGTGCTGGGATTACAAGTGTGAGCCACCACACCGGGCTCACATATTCTTATATGCTGTATTTTCATTTTCAGTGGGATGAAAGTTCCTTCAATGTGGGAACTATTACATTATAGACTTCAATGCTTTTGTACAGGCTTGAAAACTGCTGACTGATTTTATGATTCTTTCTTTGTGATAGGCAATATAAGATGGTAAAAGGAATTTAGACTCTGGAACCAGAGAGCCTGTATTTAAATATATACTCTTATTAGCATTATGACCTTAGGCAAGTTACTTAAACTATCCAGTTCTCAATTTTTTTTTTTTTGAGACAGAGTCTCCCTCTGTCACCCAGGCTGAAGTGCAGTGGTGCGATCTCCGCTCACTGTAACTCTTACCTCCCTGGTTCAAGTGATTCTCCTGCCTCAGCCTCTTGAGTAGTTAGGATTACAGGCACCCCACCACACCTGGCTAATTTCGTTTTTTTCTTTTTTTTTTTGAGACGGAGTTTCGCTCTTGTTACCCAGGCTGGAGTGCAATGGCGCGATCTCGGCTCACCGCAACCTCCGCCTCCTGGGTTCAGGCAATTCTCCTGCCTCAGCCTCCTGTGGAGCTGGGATTACAGGCACGTGCCACCATGCCCAGCTAATTTTTTGTATTTTTAGTAGAGACGGGGTTTCACCATGTTGACCAGGATGGTCTCGATCTCTTGACCTCGTGATCCACCCGCCTCGGCCTCCCAAAGTGCTGGGATTACAGGCTTGAGCCACCGTGCCCGGCACTAATTTTTATATTCTCAGTAGAGACTGGGTTTTGCCATGTTAGCCAGGCTGGTCTCGAACTTCTGACCCCGGGTGATCCACCCACCACAGCCTCCCAAAGTGCTAAGATTACAGGTGTGAGCCACCACGCCTAGCCTTGGTTCTCAATTTCTTTAACATACAATATGCGATATTGACTGTGCCTACCTCACAGGGTTAATGTGAAGATTAAATGAGTCATGTGTGTAATGTACCTAGCATACACCTTGCCCCTTCATGTGTATGCACTTACTAATTTTTAGTACTATTAATATTATACAAATCTCATCGTGAAGACCTAAGAACTTCCCTGACCTCTGACTGTTTCCATTCAATTATTTCACTTACAAGTGTAATGACTCTTGCTGAAATGTTCCATGTCCAGTTTCAACCTAAAGATGAGACACACCGGGCACGGTGGCTCATGCCTGTAATCCCAGCAGTTTAGGAGGCCGAGGCAGGTGGATCACGAGGTCAAGAGATCAAGACCATCCTGGTCAACAAGGTGAAACCCCGTCTCTACTAAAAATACAAAAATTAGCTGGGCATGGTGGTGCGTGCCTGTAATCCCAGCTACTCGGGAGGCTGAGGCAGGAGAACTGCCTGAACCCAGGAGGTGGAAGTTGCAGTGAGCCAAGATGGCGCCATTGCACTCCAGCCTGGGTAACAAGAGCGAAACTCTGTCTCAAAAAAAAAAAAAAAAAGATGAGACACGATTTAAAAGTCTGAAAATTAAGAAAGCCACTTGACTACAAAGAGACTGGTAAGAGCTCTGTCTCCAAAGTCATACTGCATTCCTATAACAACAGAAGAGACCTCATACCCCATCAGGTAGGGATATCCGGTACTGGTACTTGTAACAGTCACAGAAAGATCAACAGATAAAAAGTCTCACCTTTTGAAAAGAAAAAAAAAAGTCTCACCTTTTGATCATGTTCCTGGTGTACCAAATACAAGGAAAAGACTCCTTCAGAATGGTTTTATAATGCCTGTTCAAATCCCTTCCAGCCAAGGAGCACCGATAATTCCCCACAATCACACCATCTGGATTTAACATGGGAAGCACCTTGAAGACAAAAATATCTCTGAGGAGCCGGGCATCTGGGGAGTTGCTAAGGATGAAGTCCAAAAAGCCTTTCATAACCCAGGAGCCATTACTTTCCCCAGGGTGGACTCTGGCACTCAAGACCACAGCTTTTTTTGCAGCTGCCTCTTGAGGGGTCTGGGATGGGTTGGTGATGGTGAGCAGGTAAACGGTATTTCCTGCTAGGCTCCTGCATAAAGTTCGGAGCTTGCAGAACTGGGACTGGATGGGGTTGTTTGCCACTGACAGGAGGTAGCATTGCAAATCAGTGTATGTATATGGGTAGAAGTGTGCAAAGAAGCAAGTGTCCTGGTCATATGGAAACTGAATGGTCCATGTGAGGCAGTAGAAGGGCTGCTGCCCATCATCCGTGTTGTTTTTGTAGTACTTGATTTCATTTCCTTCTCTCCTCCAGCCAATATTGCGGGTGTCGGCATCCAGTTGGGAATACAAGAGTGGCTTCATTCCTACAGTATAAAGACTCTTGGATTTTAGCAAGTTGACAATGGTGAAGCGATAGGTGGGGTCTTTTCTGGTGTTCTGAACACGAAAATAAAACCACTGAGTGTGTTTGTTTGTGTAGAGGTCGGTTCGCAAGGTAAGTTCATACTCATAGGTGTCTCTGTAATGGAGAAAACAGAACAATTCAGTAACCTTACACCCTGCCTTAAAAAACAAATTGGGAAAATATTTTCTCCTGGTAAAAACAGGTCTTATTACAACAGAAAAACGTGCTATGTTAATCATTTATTCTCTGTATTCCCAGCACTTTGGGAGACTGAGGTTGGCAGATCACCTGAGGTCAGGAATTAAAGACCAGCCTGGCTGACATAGTGAAACCCCATCACTACTAAAAATACAAGAAAAAAAAAAATTAGCCAGGCGTGGTGTGGGCACCTATAATCCCAGCTACTTGGGAGGCGGAGGCGGGAGAATCACTTGAACCCTGGAGACAGAGGTTGCAGTGAGCCGAGACCATGCTATTGCACTCCAGCCTGGGCAACAAGAGTGAAACTCTGCCTTTGCCGGGCGCGGTGGCTCAAGCCTGTAATCCCAGCACTTTGGAAGGCCGAGGCGGGTGGATCACGAGGTCAAGAGATCGAGACCATCCTGGTCAACATGGTGAAACCCCGTCTCTACTAAAAATACAAAAAAGTAGCTGGGCATGGTGGCACATGCCTGTAATCCGAGCTACTCAGGAGGCTGAGGCAGGAGAACTGCCTGAACCCAGGAGGCGGAGGTTGCGGTGAGCTGAGATCGCACCATTGCACTCCAGCCTGGGTAACAAGAGCGAAACTCCATCTCAAAAAAAAAAAAAAAAAGAGTGAAACTCTGCCTCAAACAAACAAACAAACAAACAAAACAGTAAGGAGGTAAGCCAGTATGGTGACACACCCCTGAAGTCCCAGTTACTCCTGAGACTCAGGTGGGAAGATCATGTGAGGTCAGGAGTTCAAGGCTGTAGTGTACGATGATTGTACCTGTGAATAGCCAGTGAACTCCAGCATGGGCAACATAGTGAGACACTGTCGCTAAAAACAAATAGAATAAATAAGGAGGTATGCCTGTTGTACTGCCATAGAAAAACACCTTAAATTTATGAAGTGGAAAAAAAAAACAGTTTGACAATTTGCAAAACAATATGTACGTACCCCATTAACCAATTTTCACTTAAAAAATATATGATTTATAGGCCGGGCGCGGTGGCTCAAGCCTGTAATCCCAGCACTTTGGGAGGCCAGGGCGGGTGGATCACGAGGTCAAGAGATCGAGACAATCCTGGTCAACATGGTGAAACCCCGTCTCTACTAAAAATACAAAAAATTAGCTGGGCGTGGTGGCACGTGCCTGTAATCCCAGCTACTCAGGAGGCTGAGGCAGGAGAATTGCCTGAACCCAGGAGGCGGAGGTTGCGGTGAGCCGAGATCGCGCCATTGCACTCCAGCCTGGGTAACAAGAGCGAAACTCCGTCTCAAAAAAAAAAAAAAAAAAAATATATATATATATATGATTTATATATATTACACATATACACACACAGGAAAAAATTAAGGCATATATACCAAACTTAGTATTTGCTGCATCTGGCCAGGCGAGCTGGCTCACGCCTGTTATCCCAGAACTTTGGGAGGCCAAGGTGGGTAGATCACGAGGCCAGGAGATTAAGGCCAGCCTGGTCAACATGATGAAACCCCATCTCTGCTAAAAATACAAAAATTAGGTCAGGCTCAGTGGCTCATGCCTATAATCCCAGCACTGTGAGAGCCTGGGTGGGTGGATCACAAGGTCAGGAGTTCCAGACCAGCCTGGCTAATGTGGTGAAACCCTGTCTCTACTAAAAATAAAAATAAAAAAAATATCTGGGTGTGGTGGCACATGCCTGTAATCCCAGCTACTCCGGAGGCTAATGCAGAAGAATTGCTTGAACCCGGGAGGCGGAGGTTGCAGTGAGCCGAGATTGCACCACTGCATTCCAGCCTGGGTGATAGAGCAAGACTCTGTCTCAAAAAAAAAAAAAAAAAAAAAAAAAATTAGCTGGGTGTGGTTGTGTGTGCCTGTAATCCCAGCTAATCTGGAGGCTGAGGCGGGACAATCACTTGAACCAGGGAGTTGGAGGTTGCAGTGAGCCGAGATTGTGCCACTGCACTCCAATCTGGTGAAAGAGCAAAAAAAAATTTTTTGCTGCATCTAGGAAGTATTACTATAAGACATTTTATGTTACATATTTTTACTAACACAAATTTTAGGTGAGTTCTCATTTCATTAATAAGCAAATAATTTAGAAAATATTTTGGGGAAAAACATGAGTCATAATTACTCAATTTTTCTTCATCCCCATAACCGTATTACATCACTTCTTTTTTGCAAATACTCCTGATTCCTAATATCATTCCTGAAGGTTACCTTTTAGTCACTCCTATCATTATCCTTTTGGGAAACTGTTACTTACACTCTGACGGCTTTTTGCAGATTCCCACTCTCAAACCTTGATTCAAACAGTAGAGTATTATCTTCTGGTCCTTGCAACGTGACAGCAAGTTGCTTGATAATTCCTCGTTTGCCTCCCACTCTGGAACTGGTGAAATAGGAACCTTCTGTGGGCACTGTAGATAAGAGAGACATATTTAGGCTAGGTTCTACTTGGAATCTACTCATTCAGCAAATACTTACTGAGCCCCTCTACATGGACAATACTATTCCAGATTAACAACAGTGAATTCTCTAATTTTCAACTATCTTTGTGGAGACATTTAATTTTCAGTAAGTATTTCTTGGTAGGGCACAGTGGCTCACACCTGTAATTCCAGCACTTTGGGAGGCCAAAGCAGGTGGATCACCTGAGGTCAGGAGTTTTAGAAGCCTCATCTCTACTAAAAATATACAAATTAGCTGAGCATGGTGGCACAAGCCTGTAGTCCCAGCTACTTGGGAGGCTGAGGCAGGAGAATTGCTTGAACCTGGGAGGCAGAGGTTGCAGTGAGCCAAGATTATGCCATTGTACCACAGCCTGGGCGACAAGAGTGAGACTTGGTCCCCACACCAAAAAAAATATTTCTTTGAAGTCCTTAGGTGTTTTAAAGCACTTTTCTTTTTTTTTTTTTGAGACCAAGTTTCACTCTGTCACCCAGGATGGAGTGCAGTGGCACGATCTCCACTCACTGCAACCTCTGCCTCCCAGGCTCAAGCAATTCTCCTGCCTCAGCCTCCCAAGTAGCTTGGACTACAGGATTGTGCCACCACACTCAGCTAGTTTTTGTCTTTTTAGTAGAGACAGGGTTTGCCATGTTGGCCAGGCTGGTCTTGAACTCCTGACCTCAGGAGATCTGCCCACCTCGGCCTCCCAAAGTGCTGGGATTACAGGTGTGAGCCACTGTGCGTGGCCCAAAGCACTTCCTTTTGATTCACAGCAACCCTCGGCATTTCAGATACTGCTTGTGCCCATCTAAACCCTAATTTAAGAGGCTGGGCATGGTGGTTCATGCCTGTAATCCCAGCAATTTGGGGCTCAGGCAGGCAGATCACTTGAGCTCAGGAGTTTGAGACCAGCCTAGGCACCAAAGCAAAACCCTGTCTCTACTAAAAATATGAAAAATTGGCCGGGCGTGGTGGCACACGCCTGTGGTCCCAACTACCTGGGAGGCTGAGGTAGGAGGATCTCTTTAACATGAGAGATGGAGGCTGCAGTGAGCTGAGATCGCACCACTGCAATCCAGCCTGGCAACAGAGCGAGACTCCATCTCAAAAAATTAATAAATACATAAAAAATTTAAAAATAAAAGGATGTGGAGGCCAGGCATGGTGGCTCATGCGTATAATCCCAACACTTTGAGAGGCTGAGGCAGGAGGAATGTTTTTTTTTTTTTTTTTTTTTTTTTTTTGAGACGTAGTTTTGCTCTTGTTACCCAGGCTGGAGTGCAATGGCACGATCTCGGCTCACCACAACCTCTGCCTCCTGGGTTCAGTCAATTCTCCTGCCTCAGCCTCCTGAGTAGCTGGGATTACAGGCACGTGCCACCATACCCAGCTAATTTTTGTATTTTTTTAGTGGAGACGGGGTTTCACCATGTTGACCAGGATGGTCTCGATCTCTTGATCTCGTGATCCACCTGCCTCGGCCTCCCAAAGTGCTGGGATTACAGGCTTGAGCCACTGCGCCCGGCAGGAAGAATGCTTAAGGCCAAGAGTTCAAGAACAGCCTGGGCATAATGGTGAGACCCTGTCTCTACCAACAATTTTAAAAATTAGCCAGGCATGGTGGCACATGACTATAGTCTTAGCTATTCAGGAAGCTGAAGCAAGATGACCCCTTGAGCCCAGGAGTTTGAGGATACAATAAGCTATGATCCACCACTGTACTCTAGCCTGTGTAACAGAGCAAGACCCTATCTGTTTGTTATTTTTTGAGACAGAGTCATGCTCTGTTCCCAGGCTGCACGATCTCGGCTCACTGCAACCTCCATCTCCTGGCTTCAAGCAATTCTCCTCCCTCAGCCTCCTGAGCAGCTAGGACTACAGGTATGTACCACTGCATCTGGCTAAGTTTTGTATTTTAGTAAAGATGAGGTTTCACCATGCTGGACAGGCTGATCTCGAACTCCCGAACTCAAGTGACCCGCCCACCTTCGCCTCCCAAAGTGCTGGGATTACAGGTGTGAACCACTAACCACTATGTCTGGCCTTTTTTTTTTTTTTTTTTTTTTTGAGATGGAGTTTTGCTCTTATTGCCCAGGCTGGAGTGCAATGGCGCAATCTTGGCTCAGTGCAACCTCGGCTCACCGCAACCTCTACCTCCTAGGTTCAAGTGATTCTCCTGCCTCAGCCTCCTGAGTAGCTGGGACTACAGGCATGTGCCACCACACCTGGATAATTTTTGCATTTTTAGTAGAGGCGGGGTTTCTCCATGTTAGTTGGGGTGGTCTCAAACTCCTGATCTCAGGTGATCTGCCTGCCTTGGCCTCCCATAGTACTGGGATTACAGGTGTGAGCCATTAGGCCTGGCCAGGTTAATTTTTAAATATGGTATGAAGCAGGAATTCGACTTTATTCTTTTGAGTGTGGCTATACAGTTATCCCAACACTATTTGTTAAAGAGACCATTCTTTCCCCATTGAACAGTCTTGGCACCCTAGTCAAAAATGAATTGACCAAAATTATATGAGTTTATTTTTGGACTCTCAGTTCTATTTCAGTGATCTATATGCCTACCCCTATGCCAGGATTATACTGTTTGGATTCCTGTATGTTTGTAGTGTTCTGAAATTTTAAAATGTGAGTATTCCAATTTTGTACTTCTTTTTCTGTATTGGCTATTCAGGGCCCTTTACAATTCCATAGAAATTTGAGAATCAGCTTTTCAATTTCGGCATAAAAGCTTTTTGGAAGTTGCTCTTTAGGGCCATTAGAATTTAGACAGGGTTGCCGGGCGCGGTGGCTCAAGCCTGTAATCCCAGCACTTTGGGAGGCCGAGGCGGGTGGATCACGAAGTCGAGAGATCGAGACCATCCTGGTCAACATGGCGAAACTCCGTCTCTACTAAAAATACAAAAAATTAGCTGGGCATGGTGGCTCGTGTCTGTAATCCCAGCTACTCAGGAGGCTGAGGCAGGAGAATTGCCTGAACCCAGGAGGCGGAGGTTGCGGTGAGCCGAGATCGTGCCATTGCACTTCAGCTGGGTAACAAGAGCGAAACTCCGTCTGAAAAAAAAAAAAAAAAGAATTTAGACAGTCTGGGCATGGTGGCTCATGCCTGTAATCCCAGTACTTTGGGAGGTCAATGCAGGAGGATCACTTGAAACTTGAGGCCAGGAGTTCAAGACCACCCCAGGAAACAGCAAGACCCTGTCTCCACAGAATTAAAAACAAACAAACAAACAACAACAACAACAACAAATGCCTGGTGGCATGGTGGCAAACACCTGTAGTCCTAGCAACTCAGGAGGCTGAGGCAGGAGGATCCCTGAGCCTGAGGAGTCGAGGCTGCAGTGAGCCATGTTTGTGCCACTGCACTGTAGCCTTGATGACAAAGCAAGACCCTGTCTCAAAAAAAAAAAAGATAAAGACAAAGAAATAAAAAAAAAAAAAGAATTTGGATAGGGACTGCATTTTAATCTGTAGATTGTCAGGTAATATTGCCATCTCAACAAAGTTAAATATTCTTGGCCAGGTGTGGAGGCTCATGTCTGTAATCCCAGCATTTTGGAAGGCTGAGGCAGGTGGATCACCTGAGGTCAGGAGTTCAGTAACAGGCTGGTCAACATGATAAAACACTGTCTCTACTAAAAATACAAAAATTAGCTAGGCATGGTGGTAGATGCCTGTAATCCCAGCTACTTGGGAGGTTGAGGCAGGAGAATCGCTTGAACCTGGGAGAAGGAGGTTGCAGTGAGCCAAGATTGCACCGTTGCACTCCAGCCTGGGTGACAAGAGCAAAACTCCGTCTCAAAAAAAATTCATTAAAAAAAAATTGTATCAATTTTAAATCTTCTGGGAAAATTTAAAAAATAAAACAAAACAGGCCGGGCACAGTGGCTCATGCCTGTAATCCCAGCACTTTGGGAGGCCGAGGCAGGTGGATCACGAGGTCAAGAGATCGAGACCATCCTGGTCAACATGGTGAAACCTCGTCTCTACTAAAAATACAAAAAATTAGCTGGGCATGGTGGTGCGTGCCTGTAATCCCAGCTACTCAGGAGGCTGAGGTAGGAGAATTGCCTGAACCCAGGAGTCAGAGGTTGCGGTGAGCCGAGATCACACCATTGCACTCCAGCCTGGGTAACAAGAGCGAAACTCTGTCTTAAAAATAAATAAATAAATAAATAAACAAAACAAATTCTAACCCATGAACATGGAATGCTTTTCCATTTATCTAGGTCTTTAATTTCTTTCAGCAGTGGCTGGGCGTGGTGGCTCATGCCTATAATCCCAGCACTTTGGGAGACCAATGTGGGTGGATCATGAGGTCAGCAGTTCAAGACCAGCCTGGCCAACATGGTGAAACCCTATCTCTACTAAAGATACAAAAAAATTATCTGGGCATGGTAGTGTCAGCCTGTAATCCCAGCCACTTGAGACACAGAGGCAGGAGAATTGCTTGACCCCAGGAGGTGGAGGTTACAGTGAGCCGAGATCGTGCCACTGCACTCCAGCCTCGGCGACAAAAGTGAAACTCCGTCTCAAAATAAATAAATAAAAATAAAAATAAAAAACAGAGTTGGGGAGATAGGCATGGTGGTTCATGCCTGTAATCCTAGCACTTTGGGAGGTCAAAGTGGGTAAATTGCTTGAGCACGGGAATTTGAGACCAGCCTGGGCAATGGTCAAACCGTTTCTCTACTAAAAATACAAACAATTAGCCAGGCATGGTGGTACACGCCTGTAGCCCCAGCTACTGAGGAGGCTGAGGTGGGATGATTCACTTGAGCCTGGAAGGTGGAGGCTACAATGAGCCACGTTCATTCCACTGCACCCCAGCCTGGGTGACAGAGGGAGACCTGTCTAAACATTTTAAAAAAGAGCTGGGAAATATTCTTTCCTCTTCTGTTTTCAGAGTTGGTGAAATATTGGTATTGCTGGTATTATTATTAATTGGTAATATTATTAATATTACCAATATAGGTAATATTGGTATTACTTCATCTTTAAATGTTTAAATGTTTAACAGAATTCAAACAAACCAGCCAGGTGTGGTAAGCCCAGTACTGTGGGAGGCTGAGGGAGGTAGATCACTTGAGGCCATAAGTTTGAGACTCACCTGGCCAACATGGTAAAACTCTGTCTGTACTAAAAATACAAAAAAAAAAAAGATTAGCTGGGCATGGTGGCACATACCTATAATCCCAGATACTCTGGAGGCTGAGCCATGAGAATTGCCTGAACCCAGAAGGTGGAGGTTGTAGTGAGCCCAGATCCTGTCACTGTACTCCAGCCTGGGTTACAGAGTGAGTGAGATCCTGACTAAAAACAAACAAACAAACAAACAAACAAACAAACAAACAAAAACAGAACTCAGACAAACCTTGTCAAGTCATTTGGGCTTGGGCCTAGGTGTTTTATTTTTTTTTTTTTTGAGACGGAGTTTCGCTCCTGTTACCCAGACTGGAGTGCAATGGCACGATCTCGGCTCACCGCAACCTCCGCCTCCTGGGTTCAGGCAATTCTCCCGCCTCAGCCTCCTGAGTAGCTGGGATTACAGGCACACGCCACCATGCCCAGCTGATTTTTTGTATTTTTAGTAGAGACGGGGTTTCACCAAGTTGACCAGGAAGGTCTCGATCTCTTGACCTCGTGATCCACCCGCCTCGGCCTCCCAAAGTGCTGGGATTACAGGCTTGAGCCACCGCGCCCGGCTGTGTTTTTTTTTTTTGAGATGGAGTCTCACTCTGTCACCCATGCTGGAGTGTAGTTGAACAATTTCGGCTCACTGTAACTTCTGCCTCCTAGGTTAAAGCAATTCTCCTGCCTCAGCCTATTGAGTAGCTGGGATTACAGGCGCACACCACAAGCCCTGATGAAATTTTGTATTTTTAGTAGAGACAGGATTTCACCATGTTGTCCAGGCTGGTCTTGAACTCCTGACCTCAGGTGATCCACCTGCCTCAGCCTCCCAAAGTGCTGGGATTACAAGTGTAAGCCACCACGCCAGGCCTACCTTTCTTTCTTTTTTTTTTTTTTTTGAGATGGGGTCTCACTCTGTGGTTCAGGCTGGGGTGCAGTGGCACGATCTCAGCTCACTGCAACCTCCGCCTCCCAGGTTCAAGCGATTCTTTTGCCTCAGCCTCGAGAGTAGCTGGGACTACAGGCACATGCCACGACATCTGCCTAATTTTTGTATTTTTAACAGAGATGGGTTTTACCATGTTAGCCAGGATGGTCTTGATCTCCTGACCTTGTGATCCACCTGCCTTGGCCTCCCAAAGTGCTGGGATTACAGGTGTGAGCCACCATGCCAGGCCCTACATTCTTTCTTTAATTACTACTTTCCTTCTGCTTGTTTTGGGTTTAGTTGGCTCTTATTTTTCCAGTTTACTATGGTAGAAGCTTAAGTAATTGATAAGCCTTTTTTGTTTTAAAATACAGGCACTTAGGCCGGGCGCCGTGGCTCAAGCCTGTAATCCCAGCACTTTGGGAGGCCGAGGCGGGTAGATCACGAGGTCAAGAGATCGAGACCATCCTGGTCAACATGGTGAAACACCATCTCTACTAAAAATACAAAAAAACTAGCTGGGCGTGGTGGTGCGTGCCTGTAATCCCAGCTACTCAGGAGGCTGAGGCAGGAGAATTGCCTGAGCCCAGGAGGCGGAGGTTGCGGTGAGCCAAGATTGGGCCATTGCACTCCAGCCTGGGCAACAAGAGGGAAACTGTCTCAAAAAAACAACAACAACAACAACAAAAAAATATATATATAGGCACTTAAAACCTTAAATACCCATAAACATCCCTGGCACTGGTTCATTTTGTTTTTGCATCCTATGGCTTTTGATATGTTGTGGTTTTATTTTCGCTACATTTAAAATATTTTTGAAGTCTACGTGTGATTTCTTTAACCCACAGCCTATTTAGAAAGATATTATTCAGTTTCCAAATATTTGTGGGTATCTCAGATTTCATTCTGTTGTTGATTTCTAGCTTAATTTTATTTGGTCAGAGTACTTTGTATGATTTTAATCCTTTTACAGGTATGAAGACTTGCTTTATGGCCTAGCATATGGTTTATCCTCGGGAATTGAACAGGTGCCCTTAAAAAGAATGTGCATGACTTCAGGGCCAGGCACAGTGGCTCACACCTGTAATCCCAGCAGTTTGGGAGGCTGATGCAGGCGGATCACCTGATGTCATGAGTTTAAGACCAGCCTGGCCAACATGGTTGAAACCCTGTCTCTACTAAAAAAAAAATACAAAAATTAGCCAGGTATGGTGGCAGGCACCTGTAATCCCAGCTACTCAGGAGGCTGAGGCAGGAGAATTGATTGAACCCTGGAGGTGGAGGTTGCAGTAAACCGAGATCACACCACTATACTCCAGCCTGGGCGACAGAGCAAGACTAAAAAAAAAAAAAAAAAAAAAAATGTGTGTGACTTCAGTAGGATTGGTGAAAAGAAAAGAAAAGTGTGGGCCGGGCGCAGTGGCTCAAGTCTGTAATCCCAGCACTTTGGGAGGCCGAGGCGGGTGGATCACGAGGTCGAGAGATCGAGACCATCCTGGTCAACAAAGTGAAACCTCGTCTCTACTAAAAATACATAAAAATTAGCTGGGCACGGTGGTGTGTGCCTGTAATCCCAGCTACTCAGGAGGCTGAGGCAGGAGAATTGCTTGAACCCAGGAGGCGGAGGTTGCGGTGAGCCAAGATCACGCCATTGCACTCCAGCCTGGGTAACAAGAGCGAAACTCCGTCTCAAAAAAAAAAAAAGAAAAGAAAAGTGTGTACTTTGTTGTTGTTGGGTATGTTGTTCCACATATTTCTATAAAAGACATATATTCAACCCCTAGAAGCTTAAAACTCAATGCAGGAAACCAAATTACTAAATGATAGTCATATGCACACAGAACAAAGTACTTGCTAAAGTACATTCAGGAGGTGGAGAAAAGAAGAATAATCTCCCCAAAGATGATTCAACATCTGATTTTCAGGAAGGAAAATAACAAGGGGGACGCTGTCAAATGGACTTAGAACTATTAAGAATAATGTACTATGGGCCGGGCGCGGAAGCTCATGCCTATAATCCCAGCACTTTGGGAGGCCAAGGCAGGTGGATCACGAGGTCAAGAGATCGAGACCATCCTGGTCAACATGGTGAAACCCCCTCTCTACTAAAAATACAAAAATTAGCTGGGCATGATGGCGTGTGCCTGTAGTCCCAGCTACTCAGGAGGCTGAGGCAGGAGAATTGTTTGAACCCAGGAGGCGGAGATTGCAGTGAGCCGAGATCACGCCATTGCACTCCAGCCTGGGTAACAAGAGCGAAACTCCATCTCAAAACAAACAAAACAAAAAGAAAAAGAAAAAGAAAAAGAATAAAGTACTTTGATTTTAGAAAATTATTGAAATTTTACAGCAGACTAGTTATGACTCCTCCTCCAGGCTCCCACTCAGGTTGGCCTGGAAATGAGTTTATCACTAAACCATGTATTTTTAATTTTTATTATGGAAAATATGTTTATTATAACTTTGTCATGATTAACCACTCAGTGTTCAGCGTAATGACAATACCTGAATCTAATTGATAGACAACTGTTCCTTTTTTCTCTCCTACAATCTCTGGTACCTTTTCATTTCCTGTAGGTTGATATAAATATTCTAGTTGAGGTGGAGCCCACTCTGAAAGAAAACATTTTAAAGAGTACAAAGTAAGAAATAATGTAAAAGGCACTATTAGTAACATAAAATATTAATAATTTTTCAAATGGCTAGTTTGGTTGAATCAAACCAAATTCCCACCCTAAATTTCCTGCTTGTTTATGAAATAATTATGTCTTGTTTCTTGCCATAAAGACTTATGAGGACACTTTTAACAAGAAGTATATAAAATGAAATAATAAAGTATACACAGAAGACCTAAAAATAAGTCAGAAAGGTCAAGATAGGTGCTGCGACAGATCTTGAAAATTTGGTCTTGAGCTTCCTTAAAGTCAGCAAAATATGGTCAGCTACATAATTTTTATTACTATAGAGGAATAAGTCTATCAATTGTTTCAGAGGAAGTAAAAGGCTTTTTTGTTATCAGCTGGGCATGGTGGCATGTGCCTGTAATCCCAGCTACTCAGGAGGCTGAGGCAGGAGAACTGCCTGAACCTGAGGCAGAGGTTGCGGTGAGCTGAGATCACGCTACTGCACTCCAGCCTGGGTAACGAGCAAAACTCCATCTCAAAAAAAAAAAAAAAAAGGCTTTCTTGTTAACATCGAATTAAACAAAAATTTCTTTGGCTGGGTGTGGTGGCTCATGCCTGTAATCCCAGCACTTCGAGAGGACAAGGTGGGCAGATTACCTGACGTCAGGAGTTCGAGACCAGCCTGGCTAACATAGTGAAACCTCATCTTTACTAAAAATACAAAAATTAGCTGGGTGTGGTGTGTGTCTGTAGTCCCAGCTACCTGGGAGGCTGAGGCAGGAGAATAGCTTGAACTAAGGAGGTGGAGGTTGCAGTGAACTGAGATCATGCCACTACAATCAGCCTGGGTGACAGAGCAAGAATCTGTCTTTAAATAATTAATGAATTAATTAATTTTTTAAAAAGATTTCTTTTATGGAAATTGAACTTTTCAATATCACTTTTAGTACAGTAGCCACTGATGAATTCCAAGAGCATGTAAAGATACAACTCAGTAAAATATTATATGAATTTCTTTTCTCAAAGATTATGGGAAGTGATGAAGCTTTGACAATTTAAACAATAAGGTGCTTGTTGTTAAGTTTCTTTGAAAAATTTTTAAAAGTTGCTTTTTAAAAGACCTTATAGTTTAGTTAATTACCACAGCATTAACTTGGTTATTAAATTTCAGTTTCCTTTCTGGGGGTGGCCGCTCACACCTGTAATCTCAGCACTTTAGGAAGCCAGAAGGATCATTTGAGGCCAGGAGTCTGGGAGTAGCCTGGGCAACATAATGAGATCATGTGTCTCTACAAAAAAACTTTTTAACATGGTAGCGGGTGCCTATAATCCCAGCTACTTGGGAGGCTGAGGCAGGGGAATCGCTTGAACCCAGGAGGCGGAGGCTGCAGTTAGCTGAGACCCAGCAATTATACTCCAGCCTAGGCAACAAAGCGAGACTTCGTCTCAAAAGCAAAAAAAAAAACACAAAAACCAAAAAACAAAACCAAAACTGAAAAACTTTTCAAAAATTAGCCAGGTGGCTGGGTGCAATAGCTCATATCTGTAATGATTTGAGGTCAGGAGTTCGAGACCACCCTGGGCAACATGGTGAAACCTCCTCTCTACTGAAAATACAAAAATTAGCCAGGCATGGTGGCACATGTCTATATTCCCAGCTACTTGGAAGGTTGAGGTAAGAGAACTGCTTGAGCCCAGGAAGTGAAGGTTGCAGTGAGCCAAGATCATGCCACTGCATGCCAGCCTGGGCAACTACATTTTTTAGAATGGAGCAAGACTCTTTTCATTCTAAAAAAAAAAAAAAAAAATTAGTGGCACAAGCCTATAGTCCTAGCTACTCAGGAGGCTGAGTGGGGAGGATGGTTTGTACCCAGGAGTTCAAGGCTGCGGTGAGCTATGATTGTAGCACTGCACTCCATCCTGAGTGACAAAGCAAGATCCTGTCTCAAAAAAAAAAAAATATTAACTTGAATCAAAATAAAATGTAAAGTAAAATAAACTCCACTTTTATTTATTCCCTATATTTTCACACTTGTCTCTTGTTTTGAATGCCCAGTGTTCTAGGGTTGCCCAAGAATGCCATGTACTTTTTCTGTTTCTTCCAACTGAAATACTTTTCTTTGACCCTCTCAACTGGATCATTTCTTTTTTTTTTTTTTTTTTTTTTTTTTTTTTGAGACGGAGTTTCGCTCTTGTTACCCAGGCTGGAGTGCAATAGCGTGATCTTGGCTCACCACAACCTCCGCCTCCTGGGTTCAAGCAATTCTCCTGCCTCAGCCTCCCGAGTAGCTGGGACTACAGGTGTGCGCCACCATGCCCAGCTAATTTTTGTATTTTTAGTAGAGACGGGGTTTCACCATGTTGACTAGGATGGTCTCGATCTCTTGACCTTGTGATCCACCAGCCTTGGCCTCCCAAAGTGCTGGGATTACAGGCGTGAGCCACCGCACCTGGCCAGAGCTGGATCATTTCGAACTAATCCTTTAGATCTCAGCTTAAATGTGAACTCCTTTTGAGAACCTATGCTGATCTCTAAGCTGGATTAGGTGTGCTCAGAGGGACCAAGCACTATGCAATTGTCTGGTAAAATGTTTAATTTCCCCACTAGTTTATGAACTCTGGGTCCACGAACTCTCCACTTTGTTCATCACTATTATCTCTAACACCAAGCACTGTACTTAGGATATGATAACACATATTAAGGAATACTATAAGCAGGGAGACAAGAAAATGAGGGACATCCAGTTGTTTATCAAGCAGTATAAAGGAGAGACATACATGATGTTTGCTAGACTTCATTGTTCTGGTAATTAGAGAAGTCCCCACTTTCTAATGCAACCGCTTCCATAAATGCTTAATCCGTAAAATGGATGCAATAGATTGTACCTGCTCCAAGAGCTCACGATATGACTCACAATGTCATAAAAAAGTCTCCAAAATTCCAACAAGAAAACTCCAATAAACTCAAAGTATAATCTAAAACAGTAAAAACTATGTTCTGGTATATGCAGTCTTCAATTATACCAAGGCTGATAAAACTACAACGCAACCAAATACGTGAGCAATGAGACAGGGTAGCTCCTCTGGTTTTTTTTTTTTTTCTGTCGTTGTTGTTGTTTTTTTGAGATGGAGTCTCACTCTGTCACCAGGCTGGAGTGCAGTGGTGCAATCTTGGCTTACTGCAACCTCTGCCTCCCAGGTTCAAACGATTCTCCTGCCTCAGCCTCCCAAGTAGCTGGGACTACAGGCGCGCACCACCATGTCTGGCTAATTTTTTGTATTTTTAGTAGAGACGGGGTTTCACCATGTTAGCCAGGATGGTCTCGATCTCCTGACCTTGTGATCCCCGTGCCTTGGCCTCCCAAAGTGTTGGGATTACAGGTGTGAGCCACTGTGCCCAGCTGCTCCTCTGTAATTTTAGATGAGATGCTATGAGCTCCCTCCAAAAACAGAAAAAGGGGGGAAAAAAGCACTGAAACAGGTTAATCTAGAAAATAGATTTCCGTATTTTATATATTTTGCCTCTAGGAAGGTATTCTCCCATTCCGAAAAACTTAGAAGTATTCTAGTTTACATTAGTGTAACTTGATTTTGATGAGTGTGTATCACTTTCTCACAGTTCAATTTTTTCAGGGTGAGTTAATAAATGTTGACTTAGGCCAGGTGCAGTGGTTCATGCCTGTAATCCCAGCACTTTGGGAGGCCAAGGCGGATGAATCACTGAGTGTCAGGAGTTTGGGACCAGCCTGGCCATTATGGCAAAAACCTGACTCTACTAAAAAGACAAAAACTAGCTGGGAGTGTTGGCAGGTGCCTGTAATCCCAGCTACTTGGGAGGCTGAGGCAGGAGAATTGCTTGAACCTGGGAGGTGGGGGTTGCAGTGAGCAGCGATTTCACCACTGCATTCCAGCATGGGTGACAGAGCGAGACTGTCTCAAATGTATGAATGAATGAATGAATGTTGACTCTGTCCTGCTTTATACTCAAGCACACAGGACTTAACTTTCTCAGGTCTTGTAATAAAGTCAGGTAGAACGGCAAAACCACTACATATAAGTCATATTACCAATATGATGAATGTTTTCCTTGATGACCTCACATTCAGTTGGCCATCTTGGAGCCTGCAGTGGCCTCTTGGTAGACAAAATGGAAAAGAGCTCCCGGGGTTCTCGAAGACGTGGGTTTACTTCATCCAACTCATCATAAAGAAGCTGTCTGCTCCTAAGACGTGGTGAACTCAGCATGTGTGAATCTGCCAAAGGGAAAGAGTAAGTGAACATCTACGTTTTCCTCCTTGGGAACTTTACTGCTCATCTATGACAATGAAACTACTTTAAGTATTATATTAAAATATTGGCACAGATATATGATTCTATGACATGTTTCTCCTTCAAGAAGATTTAGTCCAGAATAACAGGTTCAACATTATAAAATGTTAAAATTCTGCAGTCTATTAAATATTTAAATATAAAGCTTTAGAGTAAATTAAAAACCTTTTTTTAAAAATTAAAGTTTATGCTGGGCGCGGTGGCTCAAGCCTGTAATCCCAGCACTTTGGGAGGCCGAGGCGGGTGGATCACAAGGTCAAGAAATTGAGACCATCCTGGTCAACATGGTGAAACCCCATCACTACTGAAAATACAAAAATTAGCTGGGCATGGTGGTGCGTGCCTGTAATCCCAGCTACTCAGGAGGTTCAGGCAGGAGAATTGCCTGAACCCAGGAGGCGGAGGTTGCGGTGAGCCGAGATCGCGCCATTGCACTCCAGCCTGGGTAACAAGAGTGAAAATCCGTCTCAAAAAATAAATAAATAGGCCGGGCGCGGTGGCTCAAGCTTGTCATCCCAGCACTTTGGGAGGCCGAGGCGGGTGGATCACGAGGTCGAGAGATGGAGACCATCCTGGTCAACATGGTGAAACCCCGTCTCTACTAAAAATACAAAAAATTAGCTGGGCATGGTGGCGTGTGCCTGTAATCCCAGCTACTCAGGAGACTGAGGCAGGAGAATTGCCTGAACCCAGGAGGCGGAGGTTGCGGTGAGCCGAGATCGTGCCATTGCACTCCAGCCTGGGTAACAAGAGCGAAACTCCGTCTCAAAATAAATAAATAAATAAATAAATAAATAAAATAAAACTAAAGTTTATGGTCCAAGACATTTCAATGGTGGGTTACAATGAATAAAAATTTACTTAATGTGTTTTATTACTTTTGTTTAGCTAGTGGCAAGAGGGAATTTCAATATATCCATTAGCATTTTAGAAAAAAATATATAAAACTTTATCAACTATAGTGAAATAATCTACAAATTAAATTTCAGGGCCTTAATATAACCATACAAAGGAAAGATAGACATTAAACAAAGATGGAAAGAGGAAGGGGAGAGAAAGAGTGACATGGGGCAGAACAGAGGAGGAAGAGCTCTTGGGAAAGAAAGAATGAGAAAAAAAGAAAGGCTTTCAGGGAGATAAGAAAGAAAGGAGGCTATGCACAGTGGCTCACGCCTGTAATCCCAGCACTTTAGGAGGCTGAGGTGGGCAGATCACCTGACGTCAAGAGTGGCCAACGTGATGAAACCCTGTCTCTACTAAAAATACAAAAATCAGTCAGGCGTGGTGTCATATGCCCGTAATCCCAGCTACTCGGGAGGCTGAAGTAGGAGAATCACTTGAACCTGAGGCAGTGGTTGCAGTGAGCTGAGGCCAGGCCATTGCACTCCAACCTGAGCAACAGAGTGAGATCCCTTCTCAAAAAAAAAAAAAAAAAAAAAAAGAATTTACCTTAAAGATTTTCTCACAAAAGCTTGTCAAGATACACAAATAAAGCTGCTCATCACAGCAACAGTCAAATACTAAAAAAGTACCCTTGCAACAAAGATGACAGAAAAGAAAAAAGCAAGAAAAAATGCTCAGAAAACAAAAAGTGGAAACAATCAAGACATCCATCAAAAATGGAGTTAAAATAATTGTGAAGGCTGGGTACAGTGGTTCACGCCTGTAATCCTTCACTTTTGGAAGCTGAGGCAGGCGGACTGTCTGAGGTCAGGAGTTCGAGACTAGCCTGACCAACATGGTGAAACCCCATCTCTAAAAATAAACCTGTATTTTGGCATGCACCTGTAGTCCCAGCTACTCAGGAGCTGAGACAGGAGAATCGTGTGGACCCGGGTGGTAGAGGTTTCAGTGAGCCAAGACCAGGCCATTGTATTCTAGCCTGGGCAAGAGCAAAACTCCGTCTCAAAAAAATAAAAATAAAAATAAATAGTTGTGGGCTCAGTGTGGTGGCTCACACCTGTAATCCAGCACTGTGTGAGGCCAAGGCAGGCAGATCACAAGGTCGGGAGTTCAAGACCAGCCTGGCCAGCATGGTGAAACACTGTCTCTACTAAAAATACAAAAAAATTGGCCAGGCTCGGTGGCTCATGCCTGTAATACTAGCACTTTGGGAGGCTGAGGCAGGCAGATCACGAGGTCAGGAGACTGAGACCATCCTGGCCAACATGGTGAAACCCCGTCTCTACTAAAAATATAAAAATTAGCTGGGCGTGGTGGTGTGCACCTGTAGTCCCAGCTACTCAGGAGGCTGAGGCAGGAGAATTGCTTGAACACAGGAGGTGGGGGTGGAGGTAAGCCGAGATCGCGCCACTGCACTCCAGCCTGGTGCCTGGTGCCTGGTGCCTAAGCGAGACTCTATCTCAAAAAAAAAAAAAAAAAAATACAAAAAATTAGCCGGATGTGGCAGCAGGCACCTGTAATCCCAGCTACTTGGGAGGCTGAGGCAGGAAAATTGTTTGAACCCAGGTGGCAGAGGTGGATTCAAACGTGAGATGAGATCATGCCATTGCACTCCAGCCTGGGTGACAGAGCAAGACTGTCTTGAGGAAAAAAAGAAAACAAGAAAAATAAATAAAAATTGTGGAATACAATAGGTGCCCTTAAAAAGAACGGGATAAAGGCAAGAAATCAAGACGCCATCTCAAAAAGAAAAAAGAACTGCTATGTGGAAAACTGGGGAGGGGGCAGCACAGAACAATAAAAGCCAGGAGACAAATTAGGAGGCTGAATAATGGCAGCTTGGATGGGAAGTGGTGGGTCTGGGAGGATGGGGGGTGGAAGTTGGGGATAAGCAGTGGGCTGGGGGGGAATGCAGAGAAAAGAAGAATGGATCAATGTTTGGTTTGAGGGAGAAATTCAACTGTATTTCTCCCCTCTGTGTCTCTGCAAAAAAATTATTTTTGTGTAAGCTAGCTAGAACTGTTTTCCACTGCTCTTATGCAAAGAGCCTTAGTAAGCATATCCATCAAAACTATGAAAATCCACATATTACTTTTTTTTTTTTTCCTTTGAGACAGGGTCTTACTCTGTTGCCCAGGCTAGAGTGCAGTGGCATAATCTAAGCTCTCTGCAACCTCTGCCTCCTGGGTTCATACAATTCTCCTGCCTCAGCCTCCTGAGTAGCTGAGACCACAGGTGCCTGCTACTATGCCCAGCTAATTTTTATATGTTTTTGTAGAGACAGAGTTTTGCCATGTTGCCCAGACTCTTCTCAAGCTCCTGTGCTCAAGTGATATGCCTGCCTCAGCTACCCAAACTGCTGGGATTACAGGTGTGAGCCACCATGCCAGGTGTATTACTCTTTTTTAATTTTTTTTTGAGACAGAATCTCGCTTTGTCACCTAGGCTCGAGTGCAGTTGCCCAGTCGTGGCTCACTGCAACCTCTGCCTCCTGGGTTCAAGCAATCCTCCTGCCTCAGCCTCCCAAGTAGCTGGCATTTAGGTATGTGCCACCACACCCAGCTAATTTTATATTTTTAGTAGATCTAGGGTTTTGCCATGTTGGTCAGACTGGTCTCAAACTCCTGACCTCAAGTGATCCACCCACCTTAGCCTCCCAAAGTGCTGGGATTACAGGTATGAGCCACCACGCCTAGCCGGAAGATACAGTATTTTAATTTAAACTTGTAACCCAAATTAGATTTAGAGAGAAGTTTTTTTTTTTTTTTTTTTTGAGACGGAGTTTCGCTCTTGTTACCCAGGCTGGAGTGCAATGGCGCGATCTCGGCTCACCGCAACCTCCGCCTCCTGGGTTCAGGCAATTCTCCTGCCTCAGCCTCCTGAGTAGCTGGGATTACAGGCATGCGCCACCACATCCAGCTAATTTTTTGTATTTTTAGTAGAGACGGGGTTTCACCATGTTGACCAGGATGGTCTCGATCTCTTGACCTCGTGATCCACCCGCCTCGGCCTCCCAAAGTGCTGGGATTACAGGCTTGAGCCACCGCGCCCGGCCTAGAGAGAAGTTTTGAATGGGGTGTTAGAAACAGAGGCCAAGGCTGCTCCCCAGCCTCTCCAGTGTTAGACCAGGTTCTTCTGAATACTCAGGGGAGTTACTAGGCAGTGAGGTTTTAGGGGATCACACAGACTGATTATTACTCACATAGAAGCTTCTCCTTTTGCAGGGTGTCTGGTATCAAATCATCTTTTTCCCCAAGAGAGCCATTCAACAGGTATTGAGGGTTATTCTTCTGAATATGCTGATACGTTGCAGAGTTTGATAGACTGCCTCTCTGAGCTAAAAATAGGCAATTTAATTAAAGTTATTGTGAGGTTGACTCATCACTTCTAACATCTAGGTCAATACCAAGCCACTACTCCTTTTATCACCACCTACCACCACAGGCCTTTGCAATAAATACATTGCATTTTTCGAAGAACTTTCACATTCCAACTTATTAAGTGAAGCATAATTATCCCCACCTTATGGCTGGGGAAATGCATGTAAAGAGGAGACTTGAGAAGTAGCCTGGTAGTAGAGTGAGAAAAAGCTTGGGAGGCAGAAAGATCCTGAAGCTACAAGGGCTTTGTTGGAACTCAGATAATGATAGCCCAGGGGTGGAAGGGTTGCTTGAGCCTGAAGTGGAAGCCACTGCCCTCCAGCCTGAGTGACAGAGCGAGATCCTGCCTCAAAATAATAATAATAATAATAATAATAATAATAATTTGGCCCAAAGTTTTGGAACACTTTGGCATACTGAACACTTTGAACTAAATATAGAAAGGGCTCCAAGTCTCAACAACATAAAATTTCTCATGTTACAAACCTGCACATGTACCCTCTAATCTATAATAAAAGTTGAAAAAATAAAACAGAAAAGTCTTAGAAGCTGCCTCAGAATCAAGGACTTTCTGACCTCTCCTGTCTCCCCACTACCCCAAGAGCAGGAAAAGACTCTCTCTGGAATTCCTTATTTGACTAAGGAAACTTCTTTCCAAAAGAAAAGCAGTTGTTTTAAGTTCCCTTCCCTAGGAATCTCATCAAATAACCAGTAAAGATGAACCACCAAAGAGGAGACTAAAAATTGGCACCACATCCAGAGAGACTTTTCATCAATTCTGAGGGCAACTCTGAGAGATGACCTGGGCAACTATTTGCATAAGACAACCTTTCTTCAGTGAAGCTCCTCCCCTTGCTTTCTTGCCACCCCTCCCAGGAGCTCAGAGGAACTTTGTCCCAGGACATGGTTCTTGAGGCTCATTCCTTTCTCCTGAAAATCATTTACTACCCTTCACAATTGCCTGCATACCCCCCTCCCTGAATTTCTCTCTCCCTGTTAAGAGGGTATTTAAACTTCAACAATCTGGCCCTACTTTGAGTCTCCTATTTGTGGGAATCACATGTCTACATACACATAAATTTGTATGCCTTTTTCTCCTATTAGTCTGTCCATTACCAGTCAGTCAAACTTTCAGAGACACTGGAAGGAAAGCCTTCCCTCTGCCCCTACAGCTGCCAAGAGAGCCAAACCCAGGTGAAAGCAAGTATCAAAGTGGCAGTGGAGCAATGAAACCCAAAGCCACTTTATCCTAAGGGTATTTGCTGAATCTGGCAAACTAGAAATTTAATTTTCTTTTTCTTTTTCTGACACAGAGTCTCATTTTGTCGCCCAGGCTAGAGTACAGTTTCGCAATCTCAGCTCACTGCAACCTCCACCCACCGGCTTTAAGCAATTCTCTGCCTCAGCCTGTCGAGTAGCTGGGATTGCAGGTGTCTGTCACCATGGCCAACTAATTTTTTTTGTATTTTTTAGTAAAGATGGGGTTTTACCATCTTGGCCAGGCTGGTCTTGGACTCCTGACTTTGTGATCCATCTGCCTTGGCCTCCAAAGTGCTGAGATTACAGGCGCATGCCCCCACATCCAGCTAATTTTTTGTATTTTTAGTAGAGGTAGGGTTTCGCCATTGTTGGCCAGGATGGTCTGGAACTCCTGGCTTCAAGCGATCCACCCACTTAAGCCTCCCAAAGTGCTGAGATTACAGGTGTGAGCCATCGTGCTGTATCCCAGCATTCTGGGAGGCTGAGGCGGGCGGATCACTTGAGGTCAGGAGTTTGAGACCAGCCTGGCCAACAGGTGAAACCTTTTGTCTACTAAAAATACAAAAATTAGAGGACAGGCACGGTGGCTCATGCCTATAATCCCAGCACTTTGGGAGGCCAAGGCGGGTGGATCACCTGAGGTCAGGAGTTGGAGACCAGCTTGACCCAACATGGCAAAACCCTGTCTCTACTAGTAAACTACACAAAAAATTAGCCGGGCGTGGTGGTGGGCACCTGTAATCCCAGCTACTTGGTAGGCTGAGACAGGAGATTCACTTGAACCTGGGAGGTGGAGGTTGCAGCGAGCCGAAATTGGGCCACTGTACTCCAGCCTGGGCGAAAAGAGTGAGACTCCACCTCGGGGAAAAAAAAGGAGAAACAAAAATTAGCTGGGCATGGTTGCATGTTCCTGTAATCCCAGCTACTCAGGAGGCTGAGGCAGAAGAATCGCTTGAACCTGGGAGGCAGAGGTTGCAATGAGCCAAGAGCACACCCCTGCACTCCATCCTGGGCAACAGAATGAGACTCCATCTCATAATAAAATAAAATGTCATAAGCCAATTGCAAAATGTATATAAGAAGGCAAAGACTCAAGAACAGCTGACACTTTGGAAGAACAAGGTGGGAAGACATGTCTTTCCAGATACCAAGACTATTTTAAGGCCCTATAGTAATTAAGAGACAGTGATACTGGTAAAGGGTAGACAAATAGATCATTGGAATAGAGAGCCCAGAAACAGACCTTTGTATTAAGTGACTGTCTACTTGACAGAGGTGACCCTGCAGATCAATGGGGAAAGGAAGTACTTTTCACTAATGGTAGAGAAGAAAGTATTTGTCAATTCAAAGTATTTATTAGTCTACCCAAGTTCAACCCTCCCAGTTAACAAAGCAATTTTCTCCTTGAGCTCAGGAAAAGTGATACTAGACAAGAACATGGTATTATTACCTTTAAAGTAGCCATAATATTGAAGGTGACGGTACATAAAGTCTTCATAGGGATCAGGAAGTCTGTGAGTCTGTGAAAGGAAGGGCCACTTCAATCAAGATGTTTTCAAACGATAATAGACTCAACAAAAAGTACATAAGCGTTGTTGCAGACGACTAAACACTCAGCGAACCACATTCCATACGAATTATTCTATCGTAGGGATCAAGATCTTCAGCTGGGAAAAGAAGCCACCAGAACATCCCTTTTCATCTAGTATTGGATTTCTGTGGAGTTCCCTGAAGAAATTTGTGACTCTGTGTTGTGTACCGACCTCCTGGTTTAGCTGCGTTTCCAAGGCTGGGAACATGTTATTACTGCATGGTGGGCTGAAGACTAGTCAGTGACATTGGCATCCAGCTGCAAACCCTGCCCCATTTCCAAATAGGCAGGTGATTACACACGAGAAGCTACAAAGCCAGAACAGGACAAGTGAAAAAACTGCCAATACCTCCCTGCAACCCCCCAGCTCCCGCTTGACTTCAGAAAACCCTGCCAACCCAGCTTCTCCTCAGCCAAACAAGGTGGTTACGTCGAGGCCGGAGGTGCACCTGAGACGGGGAGGACGGCGGGTCTTCCTGCCTCTTCTTCCCAAAGTGCTGGCCCCATGCTTCCTTCTCCCTGAGGAGGGAGATGCTCGCCACAGAGAAGTGAAAGAAATGGGGATAGGAGCACGCGGCGGAGTCGTGTCGGGGTAGATGAAAAAAGGTCAGGGGATCGGGAGAGTGGGCCCTGAAAACTGAACATAAGGTTCAGAGGAACCTGGTCCGGGGCAGGTGGTGAGGGGGTTTCCAAAGGGTAGGAGGGAGAGGGGGAGCAGAAACTTTCCAAGATAGGTGCGACCGCCTTCGCGCCCCGGCCTGTCCCGAGAAGCACGGATGGGTGCGGCAGAGAAGCCCGAGCGAGGCAGGCAGCCACCGAACTTACGTACAAAGGCCAAGCCTTGTGCAGGAAAGGGGACACACTCGCCGCATCTGCCTACCACCGCTTTCTGAGGGTTCAGGTAGCCTAGCAACCGCGAGCGGGAAGCGGAAGGGCGCGGCTGCCGGGCGCTTCCGGGGAGCTAGGCCCCTCCCCGATGGAGGGAGCCGGCAGTCCCGGGAAGGTCAGCAATAAGCTTGGCGGGCGGCGCCGACTCAGACTCATTCTTCCCCTCATACATTACAGCCCCAGCGTGGGAATCGAAACCGCATTGATGAGTACAGTGCTAGAAGCCCTCAACATATTTCCAAGCTCGTTTCCTGTTGCTTAGCTTTAGATCATTCTTATGCATAACTTGCTCTAAGAGAGCTGCTGCTCCTATCCTTTCACCTTATATTCTCTCCACTCCATAGCCAGAACGGAAAAATTACCTTCTACACTGAAAAACTTAACAAAGCTAGCAAATTCAAATCACGCATTCTGATTTTTTTTTTTTTAATTAATTTGTTTGTTTCTTTGTTTGAGACGGAGTTTCGCTCTTGTTGCCTAGGCTGGAGTGCAATGGCGCGATCTCTGCTCACCGCAACCTCCGCCTCCTGGGTTCAGGCAATTCTCCTGCCTCAGCCTCCTGAGTAGCTGGGATTACAGGCACGTGCCACCATGCCCAGCTAATTTTTCGTATTTTTAGTAGAGAAGGGGTTTCACCATGTTGACCAGGATGGTCTCGCTCTCTCGACCTCGTGATCCACCCGCCTCGGCCTCCCAAAGTGCTGGGATTACAGGCTTGAGCCACCGCGCCCGGCCTCTGATTTGGTTTTAAAAATTATATGCATAGAAATATACTACAGTCTTCTTCCTCTTCCGGGGACGTTGTGTGCAGGCACTCAGAATGGTCCAGCGTTTGACATACCGACGTAGGCTTTCCTACAATACCGCCTCTAACAAAACTAGGCTGTCCCGGACCCCTGGTAATAGAATTGTTTACCTTTATACCAAGAAGGTTGGGAAAGCACCAAAATCAGCATGTGGTGTGTGCCCAGGCAGGCTTCGAGGGGTTCGTGCTGTACGACCTAAAGTTCTTATGAGATTGTCCAAAACAAAGAAACATGTTAGCAGGGCCTATGGTGGTTCCATGTGTGCTAAATGTGTCCGTGACAGGATTAAGCGTGCTTTCCTTATCGAGGAGCAGAAAATCGTTGTGAAAGTGTTGAAGGCGCAAGCACAGAGTCAGAAAGCTAAATAAAAAATGAAACTTTGAGTAATAAAAATGAAAAAAAAAAAAAAAAAAAAGAAATATACTACAATAAAATTCAAACGTATCTTTGGTTAACTTTTTATGAATATAATCGTTACTTTTATCATCAGCGGGGGAAAAACTATAAAGCACCTTTTATTCAAAATGTTAACCATATTACATCATTGCCAGGAATTAAGTAGGTCAAATATTATCTAACATAGCTATTGGATAATATGGCTATTATCCAACCTAGGTATTAGATAATATAGATATTATAAATGATATTAGACCCCAAAACTTAGGTCACAGAGCACCATCTGGTATTAGAAGCCTGTTTGTCTAAACTGGCCCCACCACTCCCCCACTCCCGACTCAAGATCTGCTGCTCTTTTCCCTGAAAGCACACACCTTACAATGTATATGCTTAGAAAAAAAAAAAAAAGTCCTGGTTACATAATGGGGATAACAGGCTTTGATGAGCAAAAGGATAACCCATCAGAATTATTAAAAAAAGCTTTATTAGTGCATATATACAAATTTACAAGGTCAGAAACTGGAGAAATACAAAGAGCTTTAAAACACAATTTGTCTTTTCCTCAGTTTAAAGTGACTTTTACCTGATTGTGATACAATACAAAGTACAGAATGGTAAACTGCTTTTTAAATACTGGAATTTTATGGAGAATACATTCACATAAAGAAAGGAGGTGAATTTTGTTTTGAAACAGGGTTAAGACAATGGAGACATTAATACACAGAATGTCTCTTGTTGCATCTACTGCCACATACTTGAGGGGAAATTCTCAAAATCAAGGACATGAACACCTGCTGCCAATGCTGCTGTTTGTATGCCACCTAGTGTTTGAAATGAGCTACCAGTTCTAGAATTTATGAGAACTACTCTAAAGAGCGTGGCCATCTATCAGCACAAGGTAAATCACTTAGACCTCAGTACTTCAGGGGTGGCCGACTACAGAGGCCAGAAAGAGATCCAGATAATCCCAGTCAAGCAAGGTAGAATGCAGAGCTGCCTTCTGAATTGCACTTGTTTTGGAGAAGTTAATCCTTCACTTTTAAAAGTCATGGAGTCCTCTACAAAGGTGTCATATTCATGAGCCACATGTTCTTCAAGACTGATGAGGTTAATGTGCCTAACATGCTAAGTTTGCCAGTGTTGCATGGTCAAAGCAATTCCAATCACCTCACCCTTTAGCAAAACAGAAAAATTACATTTCACAGAAGTGAAACTTTGTAGGCATATATATACTCTTGCCCAGGAAATTCCTATGGTCTCCCCCATAACATTTGTAGTTTATTTGACAACAATAAAACTGGTTAAGACTTTGAACACAAAACAAATAATACAAAAAAAGTTTTAAAAACTTAAAAACTATGTGTTTGGAGCCATTTTCCTTCTCTTTAGTCTTGCTCTCCAATCCTCAGGAAGGGCTTCAAAATTAGCATTTCTCTCTGCCATGCCACTGTGAAAACAACACACAGATTATTTCACTGAAAAGAAAAATTAACAAAAGTATTCATTTCCTAACACCGAACTGAAATTGAAAACCTGATCACATCTGTTTATTAAACTGTTGTTTCTCAGCCAAGTATCAGTATATTCTTCAATTTCTTCATTCTGATAGGTCAACCAAACACTTCCCCAATTTTATGTAAATGTGTATGTGCTTTTTATTTATTTATTTAGAGATGGAATTTCGCTCTTGTTGCCCAGGCTGGAGTGCAATGGTGTGATCTTGGCTGACCACAACCTCTGCCTCTTGGGTTCAGGCCATTCTCCTGCCTCAGCCTCCCGAGTAGCTGAAATTACAGGCATATGCTACCACATCCAGCTAATTTTGTATTTTTTTAGTAGAGACAGGTTTCTCCATGTTGCATCAAGCCGGTCTCAAACTCCTAACCTCAGGTGATCTGTCTGGCCTCCCAAAGTGTTGGGATTACAGGCGTGAGCCACCACACCCAGACTTACTTATATATTTATGTAAAATACATAAATATACCTCCAGCAACCACTGAAGGCACACTGAATAAAATACATTCTATTAAAGTTTTTTCTTAGCCCACAGGAGTTAACACAATTCTTCAAGGCAGATATATCTAACCCTCAATCTACCATCAGAGACCTCTGGATCTAATGTTTTTGAGTTTCTCTTTCAAGTAGTATTATTTGTAAGGATTGAAATTCAAATTCTATCTTGCAATGAGCAGAATGAATGCACTAGATCTTTTAATAAAAAATAAGCTAGAACCTATCAGATATGAATTTGAAATCCAGTATTAGACAGCCATGTTCTAGGTTACACATTGACAACTAGATGTGTACAGTGAGTTGCAAAGAATGCTGCCCATTTCATAATGTATACCTTCAAAACAGGGAAAACATGAAATAAAAAACTGTGTTTGCTGGGTCTTAAGTCTTTAAAATTTCTAGAATTTTTGAGAAAGCCATCTTCCTGTCACAGCCTCCCAAGCCTCTAGGACTACAAGTGTGAGCCACAGTGCGCAGCCAACATGTGTGTGTTTTTTGTTTTCTTTTTTTGAGATGGCGTCTTACCCTGTTGCCCAGGCTGGAGTGCAATGGCATGATCTCAGCTCACTGCAACCTCCATCTCCCAGGTTCAAACGATTCTCCTGCCTCAGCCTTCTGAGTAGCTGGGATTAAAGGCACCCACTACTATGCCCAGCTAATTTTTATATTTTTAGTAGAGATGGAGTTTCACCTATCAACCTGGCTGGTCTCGAACTCCTGACCTTGTGATCCTCCCACATTGGCCTCCCAAAGTTCTGGGATTACGGGCAGGAGCCACCGCAACTAGCCCAACATGTGCTTTTATCGTAAAAAATATTTGTGAGCTGGGTGTGCCGATTCAAGCCTGTAATTTCAACAACCTGGAAGGCTGAGGCACAAGGATTACTTGAGGCCAGTTCTCCCTATCCTTTTTTTTTTTTTTGGAGTCTCGCTCTATCGCCAGGCTGAAGTGCAGTGGTGTGAACGGTTACTGCACCTCCCAGGTTCAAGCGATTCTCTTGCTCATTCTCCCAAGTAGCTGCGACTACAGACATGTGCCACCACGCCCAGCTAACTTTTGTATTTTTAGTAGAGATGGGTTTCACCATGTTGGCCAAGATGGTCTTAATCTCTTGACCACATGATCCGTCCATCTCTGCATCCCAAAGTGCTAGGATTACAGGCATGAGCTACCTTGCCTGGACCTATCCTTTTATTCTAGTCAAACAAGGTAAAGAAGGATTTTTTTTTAGCTAGTAGAGGTTTATTTAGTTCCCAGTGTGGTGTGCTCTCTCATTAACGTCTATTCTAGAACAAGTGTAATTCAAAAGGCAGCTCTGTATTCTACCTTGCCTGACTGAGAAACAGGGATAGGGAAAAGACTTTAATTCTGAAAATTATTTGTAAAAATTATTTGTAAATTTGTAAAATAAGTTAGTATGTATGTATGTGTGTAGGTATGCATGTGTGTGTTTATGAAAAAGCGTCCACTAGGGGTTAGGGGAGGGGGCAAAGAAAAAGGGTCCACTGGATCTAGATGTAAATAATATACTGAGCGTTAAGACAGGCCTTTGCCTTAGACCAACAATCAACAGGACAAAGTTTTACAACTCTGGTATTTCTGATTTTGGAAAAAAGGCTAGACCATGATTCCAATAAGGCAACAAAACGTTTATAAATTAAAAACTTTTAGATAAATTTACAAGCTGTAATTTTAAGAAACTCTATTCTTTTTTGTTTGTTTTTTTGTTTTTTTTGAGACGGAGTTTCACTCTTGTTACCCAGGCTGGAGTGCAATGGTGCAATCTCGGCTCACCACAACCTCCGCCTCCTGGGTTCAGGCAATTCTCCTTCCTCAGCTTCCTGAGTAGCTGGGATTACAAGCATGCGCCACCATGCCCAGCTGATTTTTTGTATTTTTAGTAGAGACGGGGTTTCACCATGTTGACCAGGATGGTCTCGATCTCTAGACCTCGTGATCCACCCGCCTCGGCCTCCCAAAGTGCTGGGATTACAGGCTTGAGCCACCACGCCCAGTGCAAGAATATCTATTCCAATGTATCTTTAACAACCACAACCTACTCCACCCATCTATGTTCCCTTTTCTTTTACCTAACCAGCTGCTGCTGTTTCCACTCTTCTATTCGCTTCTGTGCAGTTGATTCCCGATCCTCTTCACTGGAACTAGAATTGTCCTCTTCATCTAACTCACGCTGGATACTTTGCCACTTCTTTACCAAAGATGGCATTTTGGTCTTACTCTTCTTTGCCTGTAACAAAGGTTAATGGTCAAAACGAATAGAAAACATTAAGTAAGAGTCCTCTATAATGGAGGTCAGGATCCTTTTCCCAGTTCTAAGGAATATGCAGACTTTAAAATTAAAAGAAAGTAAATATCATTCTAAGTTTTTGCCATAAACTTCTTACCAACCATAAATAAAAAGGCTTGGTTAAAAATCCATAGAGCTGGGCCGGGAGCAGTGGCTCACGCCTGTAATCCCAGCACTTTGGGAGGCCGAGGAAGGTGGATCACAAGGTCAAGAGATCGAAACCATCCTGGTCAACATGGTGAAACCCTGTCTCTACTAAAAAAAAATACAAAAAATTAGCTGGGCATGGTGGCGCGTGCCTGTAATCCTAGCTACTTCAGGAGGCTGAGGCAGGAGAATTGCCTGAACCCAGGAGGCGGAGGTTGCGGTGAGCCGAGATCACGCCATTGCACTCCAGCCTGGGTAACAAGAGCGAAACTCCATCTCAAAAAAAAAAAAAAAACCATTAAGCTTTGTAAATGTGGTATTTTATAAAATCAGGTCATAAAAACTTCCTTTACCTCCCTACCCTCTGCAATTCAAAATACTGCCTTTATTTCATCTTCTCAGAATTATAGTGTTCATGTTTTCAGGTTTTAAATAGATGCAGTGTTCCTATCAAGTGATTTTTTTAAAAAGCTAAAAAATAAAAGCTGAAAGGAACAACAAACTAAATTGCCATATTAGCTAGGTGTGGTGGCAGGTATCTGTAGTCCCAGCTACTTGGGAGGCCAAGGCAGGAGAATCACTTGAACCTGGGAGGCAGAGGTTGCAGTAGGCCAAGATCACACGCCACTGCACTCCAACCTGGGCGACACAGTGAGACTATGTCTCAAATCTCAACACTTTGGGAGGCTAAGGTGGGTGGATCACTTGAGGCCAGGAACATCCTGGCCAACATGACCAAAAACCCAATTCTACTAAAAATACAAAAAATACCACTGAGTGGATGGCTCATGCCTGTAATCCCAAAACTTTGGGAAGCCAAGGCAGGCGAATCAGCAGGTCAGGAGTTCGAGACCAGCATGGCCAGCATGATGAAACCCTATCTCTACTAAAAATACAAAAAATTAGCTGGGTGTGGTGGCAGACGCCTGTAATCCCAGCTATTTGGGAGGCTGAGGCAAGAGAATCGCTTGAGCCTGGGAGGAGGATGTTGCAGGGAGCCAAGATTGCACCACTGCACTCTAGCTCCAGTGACAGTGCAAGCAAGACTCCATCTCAAAAAAAAAAAAGCCTGGCATGGTGGTGCACATGCTTATAGTCCCAGCTACTCAGGATGAAGATGTTGCAGTGAGCCAAGATCATTTGCTTCCCTTCATTGTCTACATTGTCTATAATAAACATGTACTTTTTCCCTTTTCTTTTTGAGACAGTCTTACTCTGTTGCCCAGGCTGGAATGCAGTAGTGCGATCACATCTCACTGCAACCTCCACCTCCCAGATTCAAGCGATTCTCCTGCCTCAACCTCCGGAGTAGCTGGGATTACAGGCGTGCACCACCATGCTGGTTAATTTTTATAGTTTTAATAGAGATGGGATTTCACCATGTTGGCCAGGCTGGTTTCAAACTCCTGACCTCTGGTAATCTGCCGACTTCGGCCGCCCAAACTGCTGGGATTACAGGCATGAGCCATGTCCAGCCTTTCCCCAACTTGCTTTTTTTTTTTTGAGATGGAGTCTCATTCTGTTGCTAGGCTGAAGTGTAGCTGCACAATCTCGGCTCACTGTAACCTTTGCCTCCCGGGTTCAAGCAATTCTCCTGCCTCAGCCTCCAGAGTAGCTGGGACTATAGGCACACGCTACCAACACCTGGCTAATTTTTGTATTAGTAGAGACAAGGTTTCATCATTTTGGCCAGGCTTCTTGAATTCCTGACCTCAAATGATGCACCTGCCTCAGTCTCCCAAAGTGCTGAGATTACAGGCATGAGTCATTGGACCTGGCCAAACATGTGCTGTCATAGTAAAAAAATATTTGAGCTGTGTGTGGTGGCTCACGCCTGTAATCCCAACACTTTAGGAAGCTGAGGCACAAGGATCACTTGAAGCCAGGAGTTTAAGACTAGTCTGGGCAACAAAGCAAATCCCTGTTCCTTCAAAAAAAAATTTTTTTTCAAGTCAGTTTAGTGTGGTGGCACAGGCTGGTAATCGCAGCTGCTTGGGAGGCTGAGGCAAGAAGATAACTTGAGCCCATGAGTTCGAGGCTGCAATGACTGTGCCACTATTCTCCTGCCTGGATGACAGAGTGAGACTCTGGGAGAAAAAGTGATTCTTTCAAAAACAGAATTGTTTTCCGTGCTGGTAGCACTCACGCAAACATGGTGAACGTTCCTAAAACCCACCGGACTTTCTCTAAGAATCGTGGCAAGCACCAACCTCACAAAGTGACACAGTACAAGAAAAGCAAGGATTCTCTGTATGCCCAGGGAAAGCGGCGCTGTAGCAGTAAGCAGAGTGGCTGTGGTGGGCAAGCTAAGCCGATTTTCCAGAAAAAGGCTAAAACTACAAAAAAGACTGTGCTAAGGCTTGAGTGCATTGAGCCCAACTGCAGATCTAAGAGAATGCTGGCAAGCATTTTGAATTGGGAGGAGGTAAGAAGAGAAAGGGCCAAGTGATCCAGTTCTAAGTGACATCTTGTATGAAGACAATAATATCTTGAGTTTATGTTAAAAAAAATAGAATTATATATCCAATATTCAACATATTAGCTTGCTTTGTCACATTTCTGATCAAATAAGGCATCCTAGCAGAGGCTTTATATTTTTAAAACAAAGAGGCCTTCTGAACTGCCTCACCTGAAATATCACTACCTGCCAAAGATAACAGTCTCTCCCTTACTCATTTTTCAATTATCTTAAAAATACTTATCATAGATATATTTTTCCCTTATCTATCTCCCAAGCCCTCTCTTGCCAGAAGAAAAGTTCTACAAAAGCATAAGGGTTTATTTATTTACTTTTTGGTCTGATTTACTGCTAAATCCCAAGCCCCTAGGGAAAGCATCTGACAAATATATTAGACACTGATAAAACCAATTTTTTTCTTTTTCTTTTCTTTTTTTTTTTTTTTGAGACAGTTTTACTGTTGCTGCTTAGGCTGGAATGCAGTGGTGATCTCAGCTCACTGAAACCTCCGCCTCCTGGGTTCAAGCAATTCTCTTGCCTCAGTCTCTTGAAAAGTTTATCCTTATGTTTTTTTAGGAGATGCAGATGTATGTTTGAAGACCTATCTGGGTCATGCTGGCTCAATAAACAGGGACATATTTGAATACTGCGCTCATATGAGGACTGGGTGTGGGGGCCCAAGCTGATTTTCCTCTCAGCACTTAAGACAAACAGATTGCTTGAATAAAGTCCCTGCCCCCACAAGAAAATAAGCTGGACATTTCCATTTCTTTTTTTTTTTTTTTTTTTTTTTTTTTTTTGAGATGGAGTTTCGCACTTGTTGCCCAGGCTGGAGTGCAATGGTGCGATCTCGGCGCACCGCAACCTCCGCCTCCTGGGTTCAGGCAATTCTCCTGCCTCAGCCTCCTGAGTAGCTGGGATTACAGGCACGCGCCACCATGCCCAGCTAATTTTTAGTATTTTTAGTAGAGACAGGGTTTCACCATGTTGACCAGGATGGTCTCGATCTCTTTTTTTTTTTTTGAGGCGGAGTTTCACTCTTGTTACCCAGGCTGGAGTGCAATGGCGCGATCTCGGCTCACTGCAACCTCCGCCTCCTGGGTTCAGGCAATTCTCCTGCCTCAGTCTCCTGAGAAGCTGGGATCACAGGCATGCGCCACCATGCCCAGCTAATGTTTTATATTTTTAGTAGAGACGGGGTTTCACCATGTTGACCAGGATGGTCTCGATCTCTTAACCTCGTGATCCACCCGCCTTGGCCTCCCAAAGTGCTGGGATTACAGGCTTGAGCCACCGCGCCCGGCTCCAATTCTTTTTATATTTACTGGCTCCCGGACTGACAGAGCAATATTCACTGTGTCACCCAGGCTGGAGTGCAGTGGCATGAGCATAGATCACTGTACCCTCAAACATCTGGGCTCAAGTGATCCTCCCATCTTAGTCTCCTGAGTAGGTGGTGTGGGGACTACAGGCATAAACCACCTCACCTGGCAACATTGCTTTTTATCTATCTGGTAGGTATGTAAAAATGACGTATTATTTTAGCATTCTGGAATTTTGAAGTATTATTTACAGGACAGTAAAAGCATGACTGGCTAAAATATTACTTATTGATTGGAGGTGGAATTACCTCTCTTGGAAGACTAGGGAGAATAGTGCCAGAGAAGGCTTTATAAAGGAAATGATTCTGAGCACTAGTTGTTCCTAATACTCAACTGTGTAAAGAATGAACAGTTGTGAAAACAGTGGAAGTAAAGACATGGAAGTGGTAAACAGTACATTAGCTCAGGAGAACTGCATCTGCTATAGTTAATAGCTTGACAGTGATCTGTTCAAGACATTGTCCTAATTGTCATTCTTGATTTTTATGACATTTATTTATATCATTTCAAGATAATTTCTGGAACCATGAACTAACTTGGGCAACAAACAAGTGGTTCAATCCAGAAATATCCTATCATTTTTTCTTTTTTCATTTATTTTTATTTTTAATAGAGATGGGGTTTTGCCATGTGGGCCAGGCTAGTCCTGGCCTCAGGTGATCTGCGTGCCTCAGCCTCTCAAAGTGCTGGTTTTACAGGTGTGAGCCACCACACCCAGCCACTATCCTGTCATTTCTTGTGTAATTCAAGATTTACAGGGGCAAGCATGATGGCTCATGCCGGTAATCCTAGCACTTTGGCAGGCCGAGGTGGGAGGATCCCTTGAGTTCAGGAGTTTGAGACTAGCCTGACCAACATGAGACTTCATCTATCCCTATTGAAAAAAAAAAAAAAGGCCAGGTACAGTGGTTCACACCTGTAATCCCAGAACTTTGGGAGGCCGAGAGTTTGAG